CCCTCTTGTTTAAGAACTTGTAAATGGTCGAGATCCCCACGCCTAAGCCATATATATTCTTGTATAGGAAAATAAAACAAATCAAATGAAATATAGGGGAAGTCCATGAGGGTAACCCCCACCCCCTTCTTTGTGATAACTTGTAAACAGTCAAGATCCCCAAGCCGACACCATACATTTCTTGTATGGGACAATAAAACAAATCAAATGAAATTTAGGGGAAGTCCCCTGGGGTAACCCCCCACCCCCCTTCTTTTTGAAAACTTGTAAACGGTCAAGATACCCAACCCGAAATCATATCTATTCTTGTATGGGACAATAAAACAAATCAAATGAAATATTGGTGGAGTCCCCAAGTTCACCCCCATCCCCCTTCTTTTTGAAAACTTAAAAACGGTCAAGATCCCAACCCTGAAACCATATATATTCTTGTATGGGACAATTAAACAAATCAAATGAAAACAAAGGCGAGTCCCCTGGGGTCACCCCCACCCCCTCCTGTTTGAGAACTTGTAAACGGTCGAGATCCCCACCCCTAATCCATATATATTCTTGTTTGGGAGAATAAAACAAATCAATGTATAGGGGAAGTCCAGGTGATCACCCCCATCCATCTTCTTTTTGAAAACTTGTAAACTGTCAAGATCCCCACCCCAAAACCATATATATTCTTGTATGAGACAATAAAACAAATCAAATGAAATAAAAGGCGAGTCCCCTGGGGTCCTCCCCACCCCCTCCTGTTTGAGAACTTGTAAACGGTTGGGATCCCTACACTTAAACCATATATATTCTTGTATGGGACATTAAAACAAATCAAATGAAATTAAAGGTGAGTTCCCTGGGGTCACCCCCACCCCCTCCTGGTTGATAACTTGTAAACAGTCGAGATCCCCACCCCTAAACCATATATATTCTTGTATGGGAGAATAAAACAAATCAATGTATAGGGGAAGTTCAGGTGGTCACCCCACCCCCCTTCTTTTTGAAAAATTGTAAACGGTCAAGATCCCAACCCCAAAACCATATATATTCTTGTATGGGACAATAAAACAAATCAAATGAAATAAAAGTCGAGTCCCCTGGGGTCACCCCAAACCCCCTCCTGTTTGAGAACTTATAAACGGTTGGAATCCCCACCCCTAAACCATATATATTCTTGTATGGGACATTAAAACAAATCAAATGATATATAGAGGAAGTCCATGGGGGTAACCCCCACCCCCCTTCTTTTTGAAAACTTGGAAACGGTCAAGATCCCCACCCTGAAACCATATATATTCTTGTATGTGACAATTAAACAAATCAAATGAAATTAAAGGTGAGTCCATTGGGGTCACCCCCATCCCCTCCTGTTTGAGAACTTGTAAACGGTCGAGATCCCCACCCCTAAACCATATATATTCTTGTATGGGACAATAAAACAAATCAAATGAAATATAGGGAAAGTCCAGAAGGGTCACCCACACCCCACTTCTTTTTGAAAACTTGTAAACGGTCAAGATCCCCACCCCAAAACCATATATATTCTTGTATGTGACAATAAAGCAAATCAAATGAAATAAAAGGCAAGTCCCCTAGGGTCAACCCCACCCTTCCTGTTTAAGAACTTGTAAATGGTCGAGATCCCCACGCCTAAGCCATATATATTCTTTTATAGGAAAATAAAACAAATCAAATGAAATATAGGGGAAGTCCATGAGGGTAACCCCCACCCCCTTCTTTTTGATAACTTGTTAACGGTCAAGATCCCCAAGCCGAAACCATACATATTCTTGTATGGGACAATAAAACAAATCAAATGAAATTTAGGGGCAGTCCCCTGGGCTAACCCCCCACCCCCCTTCTTTTTGAAAACTTGTAAACGGTATGCAATTAAGTGGAGTCGACTGTATATGGTTTTGGGGAGGGGATCTTGAGATCTCGAGATCCCCACTCCTAAACCATATATGTTCTTGTATGGGAGAATAAAACAAATCAATGTATAGGGAAAGTTCAGGTGGTCACCCCCACCCCCTTCTTTTTGAAAAATTGTAAACAGTCAAGATCCCCACCCCAAAACCATATATATTCTTGTATGGGACAATAAAACAAATCAAATGAAATAAAAGGTGAGTCCCCTGGGGTCACCCCAAACCCCCTCCTGTTTGAGAACTTATAAACGGTTGGAATCCCCACCCCTAAACCATATATATTCTTGTATGGGACATTAAAACAAATCAAATGATATATAGAGGAAGTCCATGGGGGTAACCCCCACCCCCCTTCTTTTTGAAATTGACAATTAAACAAATCAAATGAAAATAAAGGTGAGTCCATTGAGGTCACCCCCACCCCCTCCTGTTTGAGAACTTGTAAACGGTCGAGATCCCCACCCCTAAACCATATATATTCTTGTATGGGAGAATAAAACAAATCAATGTATAGGGTAAGTCCAGGTGGTCACCCCCATCCCCCTTCTTTTTGAAAACTTGTAAACAGTCAAGATCCCCATCCCGAAACCATATATATTCTTGTATGGGACAATAAAACAAATCAAATGAAATAAAAGGCGAGTCCCCTGGGGTCGTCCCCACCCACTCCTGTTTGAGAACTTGTAAACGGTCGGGATTCCCACCCCTTAACCATATGTATTCTTGTATGGGACAATAAAACAAATCAAATGAAATTAAAGGGGAGTCCCCTGGGGTCACCCCCACCCCCTCCTGTTTGATAACTTAGCTTGTAAACAGTCGAGATCTCCACCCCTAAACCATATATATTCTTGTATGGGAGAATAAAACAAATCAATGTATAGGGGAAGTCAAGGTGGTCACCCCCACCCCCCTTCTTTTTGAAAACTTGTAAACGGTCAAGATCCCCTCCCCAAAACCATATACATGTATATTCTTGTATGGGACAATAAAACAAATCAAATGAAATAAAAGGTGAGTCCCATGGGGCTTCCCACCCCCTCCTGTTTGAGAACTTGTAAACGGTCGGGATCCCCACCCCAAAACCATATATAATCTTGTATGGGACAAAAAAACAAATCATATGAAGTAAAGGGCGAGTCCACTGGGGATCACCTCCCCTCCCTTTTGAGAACTTGTAAACGGTCGAGATCTCCACCTCTAAACAACCATAAATATTCCTGTTCGTCATTTGAAGAAGATTTGAATGACATACAGGGTCAATCCATAGGCGTCACTTATGCATATCACAAACCAATTTGTACTGGACTTTGCCCAATGTCAGGCGACCATGGGAATGACGAATTATTGGAGCTTTGTTTGGGAGACTTGTTACAATTATGTCTTGTTACTGATAAGTTTTATAGATTTTGAAAAGACATTGTATTAATGATAAATAAGATTTTGGATTTTTTTCTTCTTTTCTTTGGTAAATTGTTTGAAGAATTTTGTGGCAAGTTTGTTTGTTATTCTGTAAAAAGTAATTTTCTGAATGCTATATTTTTTTTTATGAAGTGAACTTTTAAAACTAAGCTTATATTGTTTATTAATAAACATATATTTAGATTTCTGTTTTTGGGCCCAGTTTTCAAGTTGGTCCAAATCGGGGTCTAAAATTAAAACTGTGTTTGATTTCAACATAAATTGAATAAATACAGGGTTCTTTGAAATGCTTAATCTAAACCTGTATTTCTTTTTATTATTAATAAGATAATATCACATTGAGGTCCAAAGGGTCCTAAATTAAACTTTTGTTTATTTTCATCAAAAATTGAATTCTTTGGTTCTTTGATATACTGATTCTAACAATGTTTGAGTGATAAATCATATAGAATTTTAGAGAACTTAGTCATCACTGGTTGTTGTTATTATATTATTGATTATAATTTGAAAAATTGCATCATATCTTATTTTATCCAGTTTGAGTTATTTCCCTTTGCACAGAAAATATTATGGATAAAATTAACCTGTGTTTCATTTCAACATGAATAAATATATATAGGGTTCTTTCAAATGCTGAATCTAAACCTGTATTTAAATATTAGATTTTTGGGCCCAGTTTTCAAGTTGGTCCAAATCAGGGTCCAAAATTAAACTTTGTTTGATTCAACAAAAAATGAATTTATGGGGTTCTTTGAAATGCTGAATCTAACCATGTATTGAGAGATTTTGGATTGTGGGCTACTTTATCAAATTGGTCCACATTGAGGTCCAAAGGGTCCTAAATTAAACTTTTGTCTGATTTCATCAAAAATTGAATTCTTGGGTTTCTTTGATATGCTGATTCTAATATGTACTTAGATTTTGGATATTGGACCATAATAGGTAAATGTCCAATTTCAAATATTTCAGTTCTTTGACCACATTCATTTTGTGTCACAAACCTATGCTGTGTCAAATATTCAATCACAAATCCAAATTCAGAGCTGTTTTAAGCTTAAATGTAGTGTCCATACTTGCTCAACTGTTCAGGGTTCGACCTCTGCAGGAAAATCCAGTTTGCTGTCACTCTGACAGCCTCTTGTTTTCTTTTAAATCAGTCAACAAATCTTTATTGAACCTGGACTATTTGAATGTATGAAAGGGAAAGGAAAGACCTCCCAATTGTTCATTAACAATTGAAATTTGATTGTTTTTCACTTTTCTAAGCTAGAGAAGTATAAAACTGTTTCCTGTTTAAAATTTCATCTGATCTTCAATATGACTTCCATATTTGACTTCCATAGATTCGTTATAGATACACAAGCAACAATCAATCAAACCATGATGTTTGACATAGATTTTTAATGGGTTGTTTATGAAAAATACTAAACTAGTATATATATTTGTATAGGGGCCAGCTGAAGGACGCCTCCGGGAATTTCTCGCTGCATTGAAGACCTGTTGGTGACCTTCTGCTGTTGTCTGTTCTATGGTCTGGTTGTTGTCTCTTTGACACATTCCCCATTTCCATTCTCAATTTTAAAAAACAAACTTTTAAACCAGTGAACAAATCTTTATTGAACTTAGACTTTATGATATTTTAAATAAAAACAGTTATAATTACAGATCCAATCCAGACACAGACAAAGTCCGCTATGTTGAATAGGTTACTTGGCAGTGGAACGTATGATTCCTATGACATGCGCTGTATGGTAACAGGCCAATTCGGGGTCGGGAAATCAAGTCTTGTCAAGCTCTTGGCAGGTGATGTCATCCCAGAAGGAAGACATCCTACCGATGGCATTTCCCTTATAGAAGGTCGCTGTGGTCTTGATGTTGAGACTAAAAGCTGGATTTATATTGATCCAGGTAGGAATAAGCATGTAAAATACTGTACCAAATTCTGTTTACAAATGCTTATACATTAATTGTGTACTTCAATTAGCATGTGTATTTATGATTTGACAAAACAATTATATATTATTATACTTCATGTCAAAATGCCAGATTTTGATTGGTTAATACGAGGGAGACAATTTACTCTTTCCTATGGTAAACACTCTATTACCCTTCACGGAGACGCTTGATCAAGTGTGCGCTTTATTAAATACAGATCGGTGGTTGTTATGTACAAGACGTCATAGTTTATTACTTTGAATTTGAAATTTAATAGACAGTAATAACAGAACATTCAGTATAATAAATTGAATAACACATATCTGAGAGGGTGATAGAGCAGATTGTTACTCCTCGAAAAGACATTGTCAACCTTGGCTTCGCCTCAGTTGAAAATGTTTTCTTGGGGTAACAATCTGCTCTATCACCCTCTCAGCTATGTGTTATTTATATAATGACTTGCCATAAAGGATCTATAAATATTCAATATGAAATAGTACTATTCTTTGTATAACTTAAAGGATGTTTGCTTGTCATGTTATGGAATTTTTGTAAGATTTTCGGAATCCTCTGGTTTTATCCATTTGAAAGCATTAAAAAAATTTGCCCATTAACCCCCATCTTTCTTTTTATAAATCTTTTACATGTATATTTATTAGTCATCTGTAAACGTTTTATAAAATCTTTGTTATTTTTTTAATAGTTTTTATACGACCGCAAAAAAAATTTTGTGGTCGTATATTGGTATGACGTTGGCGTCGTCGTCTGGCGTCACCCGAAGACACATTGGTTTTCGCACTCTAACTTTAGTTTAAGTGAATGGATCTCTATAAAATTTTACCACAAGGTTCAATACCACAAAAGGAAGGTTGGGATTGATTTTGGGGATTATGGTACCAACAGTAAAGGAATTAGGGGCCAAAAATATGCATTTTTGTAACTTCCAGACATAACTTGTGTGTTAGTGTATGGATCTCTCTGACATTGTACCACAAGGTTCCATATCACAAAAGGAATGCTGGGATTGATTTTGGGGGTAATTGCCTCAAAATTTTAGGAATTAGGGGCAAAAAACAAGCATTTTTCTAGTTTCATGACAATAACTTGTGTGAAAGTGTATGGATCTTTCTGAAATTGTACTACAAGGTTCCATATCACAAAGGGAAAGCTGGAATTGAGTTTGGGGGTATTTGCCGAAACGTTTAGGAATTGGGGGCCAAAAAGGGGCCAAAAATAAGCATTTTTGTAGTTTCCAGACAATAACTTGTGTTCAAGTGTATGGATCTCTCTGAAATTGTACTGCAAGGTACCATACCACAAAGGGAAGGCTGGGATTGATGATGGGGGTAATTGCCTCAATATTTTAGGAATTAGGGGCCAAAAAGGGGCAAAAAACAAGCATTTTTCTAGTTTCAGGACAATAACTTGTGTGTAAGTGTATGGATCTTTCTGAAATTGTACTACAAGGTTCCATATCACAAAGGGAAAGCTGGGTTTGAGTTTGGGGGTAATTGCCCTAAAGGTTTAGGAATTTGGGGCCAAAAAGGGGCCAAAAAACACATTTTTCTAGTTTCCAGACAATAACTTGTGTTCAAGTGTATGGATCTCTCTGAAATTGTACTGCAAGGTACCATACCACAAAGGGAAGACTGGGATTGAGTTTGGGGGTGATGAATCATCAGGGGGATTAAAAAAATTTGGGGGGGGGGGGGTTTCCTTTTTTTTCTTTTTTTCCTTTTTTTTTTCTATTAAAATTTTCCATTTTAAGTTGGTTATTTCTGATTTATATTTAAAAGCAAATAATAATGATATGGTAGGAGATACACACCAAACAGGATGTGTAAATTATTATATAATAAGTATTGTGCAATAGCAAGAAATTTTCAATTGCACAGTATTGCACAATAGCAAGAAATCTTCAATTGCACAGTATTGCGCAATAGCAAGAAATCTTCAATTGCACAGTATTGCGCAATAGCAAGAAATATCCAATAGCACAATATTGCACAATAGCAAGAAATTGTCAATTGTACAGTATTGCGCAATAGCAAGAAATATTTAATTGCACAGTATTGTGCAAAAGAAGATACTTCGTATAAGTTGCTTATTTCTTGACCAATTTCAATGGGGTTTTATTCTTGAATTCTTGGGGTTCTTTAATATGCTGAATCTAAGCGTGTATTTAGTTTTTGGATTTTGGGCCCCGTTTTTAAATTGGTCCACATTGAGGTCCAAAGGGTCCAAAATTAAACTTTGTTTGATTTCATCAAAAATTGAATTATTGGGGTTCTTTGATATGCCGAATCTAACCGTGTATTTAGATTCTTACTTTTTGGTTCTGTTTTCAAATTGGTCTACATTAAGGTCCAAAGGGTCCAAAATTAAACTTAGTTTGATCTTAACAAAAATTGAATTCTTAGGGTTCTTTGATATGCTGAATCTAAACATGTATTTAGATTTTTGATTATGGGCCCAGTTTTCAAGTTGGTCCAAATCGGGGTCCAAAATTAAACTTCGTTTGATTTCAACAAAAATTGAATATATGGGGTTCTTTGATATGCTGAATCTAACCATGTATTTAGATTTTTGATTTTTTGGGCCCCGTTATCAACTTTGTCCACATTGAGATCAAAAGGGTCCAAAATTAAACTTTGTTTGATTTCATCAAAAATTGAATTCTTGGGGTTCTTTGATATGCTGAATCTAACCATGTATTTAGATTTTGGATGTTGGACCATAATAGGTGAATGTCCAATTTAAAATTTTAAAAATTTTAAAAAGTTCTTAGACCACATTCATTCTGTGTCAGAAACCTATGCTGTGTCAAATATTTAATCACAATCCAAGTGCAAAGCTGTATCAAGCTTGAATGTTGTGTCCATACTTGCCCCAACTGTTCAGGGTTCGACCTCTGCTGTCGTATCAAGCTGCGCCCTGGGGAGCATTTTATTGAGAACTTAAACTGGTCAATTATAAAGCTAAGAAAAATCAAGAGAGAACGTTTTCCCGCATAAATATCATTGACTTATATCTCGAAAACAAGCACAGGGACCTATATTTTTTTTTTATTGCTCATTTGGTTCCTTTATTAATCCACTATCAATATATACTAGTGTTATGAAAAGATTGTTATTTTGAAACTGAGTAGCGAACTTCCTTAAGATAAACTCATTGAAGAATTTAAATCATCTGCCCAGTCTATAAAAGCAATCATTTAACACTTTTCTGTAATTTGCTGTTTGTTACTCCTATTGTTATTCATCTTCGTTGTTAAATAGGTAAAACATTCATTATCAATGTACATCCAAGTTATTATACCCCACGCAATTAATTGCATCGGTATAATGTTTTTGACCTGTCTGTACGTCCATCTGTCAATCTGTCAATCCGTCAGTCTTGTTCTTGTCATTGCAACTCCTCTGAAACCACACAACAGAATATTATGAAACATTGTAGATAATAAACTATGTAGATGTGCATATCGACAGGAAATGATGATTCAATTTTTTTTTCTAGGAGCTATGCCCCTTTGAACTTATTGGCCTCAATATACTACTGCAACAGTTTGTCATCGCAACTCCTCTGAAACCACACAACAGAATTTCATGAAACTTTATAGATTATAAGGACATACTATGAAGATGTGCATATCGACAGGAAATTATGATTCAATTTTTTTTCTAGCAGCTATGCCCCTTTGAACTTATTGGCCTCAATATACTACTGCAACAGTTTGTAATCGCAACTCCTCTGAAACCACACAACAGAATTTCATGAAACTTTATAGATTATAAGGACATACTATGTAGATGTGCATATCGACAGGAAATTTTGATTTAATTTTTTTCTAGGAGTTATGCCCCTTTGAACTTATTGACCTCAATATACTATAGTATGTCCATCATAACTTTGAAGATGATAAAGGCATACTATGTAGATGTGCATATCCACAAGAAAAAAATATAAGTTGACTTTTGTAGGAGTTATGAGTCTTGGAACTAACGAGATCTTGTTTGCCCACTGACAATGTAGGGACGTGGGGTATGTGAGTGTACTCACAAAGGTTTTTTTAATTTTTACAGGCAGACCATAAATGTGAAGAGAATGCAGGATGTATCTCCAAGTCATCCCTTCAAAACTTTCACCGAACCCATCACTAGTTTGTCTACCGTTGTGGAATATCTGACACAGTTGTGTTGCTTATTTATGCACACAGTCTCTGATAGTCTCATTTGGGGATGTAACATTTGTGGAAAAAATAACGAGGACACAATTGTAGTTACTACAACTGGAATATATCAGTGGTCATCTAGATCTGTGGGACAGCTATTCCACAATGGTCGACAAACTAGTGATGGTTTCAAATACTATAATGTACTCATGCAATGCATATAGCTATATATTAGCTATTAACATAACTTTGAGATTTTCAACTGTTCAATTACTGCCATTGCTTTTTATCAGCAAACATTTAAAAATGATCCTTCTTAATAAACTTAACTTAAATCATTCCTGAGGTGTCTAGCTTCCAATTTATTACTGAATTTCCTGCTCATCAACCAAATTTAGAACACAGGAATGAAACAGACTAAACAGTAGGGGCCTTATTTGTTCTGTTGATGCATGTTTAGTTTTTGTTAACAATTATTCAATGCATTTGGCCTTGAGTATGTCTGTTGGTGATTATTAAAAAAGAAATGGTATAAGTATAACCATGATAACATTAGCACATTATTCAACCAAAATAAATCTTTATTGAAAATTATCTATTCAAGTGATATATAATATTTTACAGAAACGTATGATGCTTTAGATGTTGTGTACAATAAGGTGTTAATGACTTCAGTAGAAGAGGATGAAAGAAAAGAAGACAAAACACCAAAGAAACCGCATTTACCAGATTCAAATCCTGTTATATTTGATGGTAAAGTGATGACTGGTGGTCCCTCCCAACAGCCTCTAGCAGCCACATCTTTGTCACCTCAAATATCTGACAGTGAGTCCAAGAGAAGACCAGAGTTGAAAACACACATGAAATCGAAAATGACAAGAGAAGAAATAAGAAAAAAAATGGAAAAAGTCCTTCAAAGTGGAAACTACAAGATGAAAGTAGGAAGACTGATTTTTTGGGACTTTGGTGGACAGTATGTCTACTATACCACACACCAAACCTTCATGACTTTCAGAGCATTGTTTCTCGTGGTATTTGACGGAAGCAAACAGTTGCATGAAGTAGTCCCAGATGTTCTGTGTTTTCCAGGGCAGCACATGACACCAACCCCAGCAGGTACTGCATGTTAGTTACAATATAAAGACTCATATTGAACATCATATGTTGTTTACTATGTTAAAACACATCTACATTATCAGCATTAAAAACAAGGCTTCCGGGTTACTGTGATAATACCGTTAAAAGGCTTATATAGTCCGCGGTTTTATTCTATAAAATTGAACCTGCCAGACGGGTGCGGACTATAAAGTACAATAAGCAAGAAATAAGAGAAAAAAAATCAATTTCGCGAGGTGGTTTGTTTACATTCCGCCATGTTTTTATACGACCGCAAAAAAATTTTGTGGTCGTATATTGGTATGACGTTGGCGTCGTCGTCATCCAGCGTCGTCGTCCGAAGACACATTGGTTTTCGCACTCTAACTTTAGTTTAAGTGAATGGATCTTTTTGAAATTTGACCATAAGGTTAAATACCACAAAAGGAAGGTTGGGATTGATTTTGGGGGTTATGGTACCAACAGTTAAGGAATTAGGGGCCAAAAATAAGCATTTTCTAGTTTCCAGACAATAACTGTGGAACGGTGTATGGATCTCTCTGAAATTATACTACAAGTTTCCATACCACAAAGGTTAGGATTTGCTTTGGGGGGTTATGGCTCAAACCGTTTAGGAATTAGGGGCAAAAAAGGGGGAAAAACAAGGTTGTCCTGGTTAATGGACAAATACATTAGTACAAAACATAATTTAAAGCAGTGTAAGGGAGATAAATCAAATACATCATTGAAATTATCTCCCTTACACTGCTTTTAAATTATGTATAAAGTAATGGTTAATGAACAATAAAGATAATTTAAAACAGTGTAAGGGAGGTAATCCAAATACAACGTTTTGGTTACTTCCCTTACACTGCTTTTAAATTATGTTTAAAGAAATACATATTTATAAAGGAAGACCAGTAAAAATATCTGCAAATGTTGCATCTTTTTTTTTAACAAAAAAATCCATATGAAAGATTTGACACTATATTTTTAATTCTATTATAAAATAGATTAAGTTAGCACTATGGTAAATTTAAATGGGTAATTATGGTTGCCAACTCCATTGGAAATTTGAATTGAGATTATGACCATATCTTGAGGGAAAGAATTTTTTTGGGGAAAAAAGGGGGGGGGGGGGGGGGGATAAAAAGAAATTGTGGGGGTCAATTTTTTCTCATTTCAGATTTCAGAAATTAAAAAGAATTATTCTTCAAATATTATTTTTTTTTCAAATTTCAAATATTGAAAAATTTCAAGAAGTAATTTTTAATTGCACAGTATGGCGCATTAGATTTGTAAAATCTTTGATCACATTTATTTATTTGTTATGCCGAATCTAACAGTGTATTTAGATTTTTAATTTTGGGTCCAGTTTTCAAATTGGTCTACATTAAGGTCCAAAGGGTCCAAAATTAAACTTTGTTTGATTTTAGCAAAAATTGAATATATGAGGTTCTTTGATATGCTGAATCTAAACATGTATTTAGATTTTTGATTTTTGGCCCAGTTTTCAAGTTGGTCCAAGATAGGGTCCAGTGTTTAAACTTTGTTTGATTTCAACAAAAATTGAATATATGGGGTTCTTTGATATGCTGCATCTAAACATGTATTTAGATTTTTGATTATGGGCCCAGTTTTCAAGTTGGTCCAAATTGGGGTCCAAAATTTAACTTTGTTTGATTTCAACAAAAATTGAATATATGAGGTTCTTTGATATGCTGAATCTAACCATGTATTTAGATTTTTTATTTGTGGGCCCCGCTATCAAATTGGTTCATATTGAGGTCAAAAGGGTCTAAAATTAAACTTTGTTTGATTTCATCAAAAATTGAATTATTGGGGTTCTTTGATATGCCAAATCTAACCGTGTTTTTAGATTTTTAATTTGGGTCCCATTTTTTAAAATTGGTCTTTATTGAGGTCCAAAGGGTCCAAAATTAAACTTAGTTTGATTTTAACAAAAATTGAATTCTTGGGGTTCTTTGATATGCTAAATCTAAACATGTGTTTAGATCAAGGGTCCGGAAACGATCATATTTGCCAGTCATGTCCTAAGATGAAACTATTTGTCCTAAACGAGTAATTGGGATTTAGGACAAATTTATTTTTTTACAGAAGTAATTTCGGTCATTTCATTGACTCAATATTTGAAATCGGATTTCTTAATCGCCATTTTGCACTTGTGATCACTTGTTTTTGTTTATAATCCCTTTCCTGTATTAAAACTGCCACTACAGTAGTTTGATAATCCTGAGGGCCCTCCTAATATCTATATCAATGCCTCCGGAAAACATTGGCTAATGATCGCTAATCACTTTTTACCTGTGGTTTTAATTCACACCCGACAGTGATCACAAGCTCAGAATAATATCTTTAAAACATTAAAGTTCCCTGACAAGTGTATTCATTATTTATTTACTTTTCATCAAAGACAGTCATCAATTCTGATTTAAAAATTAAATCTAAATTTACGTAGAAAAAAAGTATTTTTTCATGAGTAACACATGTGCTTTATTTACTATGTAATACGCATGCGTGAAATTGTCTTCAGCAAATTTAATATTTAATCGTAAAATGCAAATTGATTTCATGCTAAATTAAACGAGTGCAACTATTATCTGTTATATTCAAACACTTTTGAAGGTAATAAATAAAAAAAGCCATAAAATGCCGGTGATTTCCTATAAACAAAATAAATCCCGGAAATGAATCCGGAATTATTCGTACTTTAAAATATCGCAAACTTCCGGTTTTAACTTTTGTCAAATCGAAAGAAACGTAAGCAATGTCTGAGAAATTAACCATTTTGAGTCATTAAATTCATTTCAATTTTAGATTGTTGCCTTTCCCTAAACTGTCCTTCATGGTAATGGTAAGACATTTACTTAGTAAATGCAATGTAACAGCAATACAAGTTCGTCATGTTCGTTGATGCTATGAATATATAGTCAAGTTGATATCGACAATTTGAAAAGGGCACCAACTTTTCAAACATCTCAAAATGACCGAAATTGTCTGGAAAAATTTCCGGATCCTTGGTTTAGATTTTTGATTATGGGCCCAGTTTTCAAGTTGGTCCAAGATAGGGTCCAGTATTTAAACTTTGTTTGATTTCAACAAAAATTGAATACATGGGGTTCTTTGATATGCTGAATCTAAACATGTATTTAGATTTTTGATTATGGGCCCAGTTTTCAAGTTGGTCCAAATTGGGGTCCAAAATTAAACTTTGTTTGATTTCAACAAAAATTGAATATATAAGGTTCTTTGATATGCTGAATCTAACCATGTATTTAGATTTTTTATTTGTGGGCCCCGCTATCAAATTGGTTCATATTGAGGTCAAAAGGGTCTAAAATTAAACTTTGTTTGATTTCATCAAAAATTGAATTATTGGGGTTCTTTGATATGCCAAATCTAACCGTGTTTTTAGATTTTTAATTTGGGTCCCATTTTTTAAAATTGGTCTTCATTGAGGTCCAAAGGGTCCAAAATTAAACTTAGTTTGATTTTAACAAAAATTGAATTCTTAGGGTTCTTTGATATGCTACATCTAAGCATGTGTTTAGATTTTTGATTATGGGCCCAGTTTTCAAGTTGTTCCAAGTTGGGGTCCAAAATTAAACTTTTTTTGATTTCAACAAAAATTGAATATATGGGGTTCTTTGATATGCTGAATCTAACCATGAATTTAGATTTTTTATTTGTGGGCCCCGCTATCAAATTGGTTCATATTGAGGTCAAAAGGGTCCAAAAATAAACTTTGTTTGATTTCATCAAAAATTGAATTATTGGGGTTCTTTGATATTCTAAATCTAACCGTGTATTTAGATTTTTAATTTTAAGTCCCGTTTTTTAAATTGGTCTACATTAAGGTCCAAAGGGTCCAAAATTAAACTTAGTTTCATTTTAGCAAAAATTGAATTATTGGGGTTCTTTGATATGCTGAATCTAAACATGTGTTTAGATTTTTGATTATGGGCCCAGTTTTCAAGTTTGTCCAAGTTGGGGTTCAAAATTAAACTTTGTTTGATTTCAACAAAAATTGAAAATATGGGGTTCTTTGATATGCTGAATCTAACCATGTATTTTGATTTTGGACATTGGACCATAATAGGTAAATTAAAATAATTCAAGTTCTTAGACCACATTCTTTCTGTGTCAGAAACCTATGCTGTGTCAAATATTTAATAACAATCCAAATTCAGAGCTGTATCAAGCTTGAATGTTGTGTCCATACTTGCCCCAACTGTTCAGGGTTCGACCTCTGCGGTCGTATCAAGCTGCGCCCCAGCGAAGCATTTTATTTATTGATATTGTAAAGGGCGCTCTTATCATTTTTGTCTCGCCTTGACAGAGTCAAAAAGCGAGACATAGGTATGCTGCTTCTGGCGGAGGCTGCGGCGGCGTCAACAATGTATTAGTTTGTGATTAGGTCTGGTTTATGGTGAACCACAAGTGGTAGGTCAATGATATTTGGTATGCAGTTGTATTAGCATTGGCACATCTCATTACCATGGAGATTATTTGGCCCTGCTGCCTCAGTCATGGTCTATTGACTTCTGAACTTTGCCAAGTTTACATGTATTATTTTGTGATTAGGTCAGTTTATGGGGAACCACTAGTGGTAGGTCAATGATATTTGGTATGCAGTTGTATAAGCATTGGCATATCTCATTTCCATGGAGATTATTTGGCCTTGCCCCCTTGGTCATGGTCTATGACTTTGAAACTTTTGCTTAGTTTTTGTCGAGCCTGCGACTTTTGTCGCAGAAAGCTAGACATAGGGATAGTGATCTGGCGGCGGCGGCGTTAGCTAACTTCTTAAAAGCTTTATATTTTAGAAGGTGGAAGGTCTGGATGCTTCATACTTTGTATATGGATGCCTCATGTTACAAAGTTTCCGTCAGTCACATGTCCAATGTTCTTGACCTCATTTTCATAGTTCAGTGACTACTTGAAAAAAAAGTTAAGATTTTTTGTAATGTTAAATCCTCTCTTATTATAAGTAAAAGGATAACTATATTTGGTATGTGCGTACCTTGCAAGGTCCTCATGCCCGTCAGACAGTTTTCACTTGACCTCGACCTCATTTCATGGATCAGTGAACAAGGTTAAGTTTTGGTGGTCAAGTCCATATCTCAGATACTATAAGCAATAGGTCTAGTATGGAAGGACTGTAAGGTGTACATGTCCAACTGGCAGGTGTCATCTGACCTTGACCTCATTTTCATGGTTCAGTGGTTATAGTTAAGTTTTTGTGTTTTGGTCTATTTTTCTTATACTGTAGGCAATAGGTCTACTATATTTGGTGTATGGAATGATTGTAAGGTGTACATGTCTAGCTGACAGGTGTCATCTGACCTTGACCTCATTTTCATGGTTCAGTGGTCAAGTTTAGGTTTTTGAGTTTTGGTATTTTTTTCTAATACTATATGCAATAGTTCAACTATATTTGGTGTATGGAAATATTTTATGATCTATTTGTCAGTCACGCAGGTTCTTATTTTACCTTGACCTCATTTTCAAGGTTCATTGCTCAGTGTTAAGTTTTTGTGTTTTGGTCTGTTTTTCTTAAACTATAAGCAATAGGTCAACTATATTTGTTGTATGGAAGAATTGTTAGTTGTACATGCCTGCCTAGCATGGTTCATCTGACCTTGACCTCATTTTCATGGTTCATTGGTCAATGTTTAGTTTACTTGGTTAATGTTAAGTTTATGTGACAGTTGTAATAAAGCTTTATATTTAGGACTATCAACATATCAATGATTAGTAAAGAAGGCGAGACATTTCAGCGTGTGCACTCTTGTCATGTATTAGTTTGTGATTAGGTCAGTTTAAGGGGGACCGTTAGTGGTAGGCCAATGTTAATTGGTATGCAATTGTATAAGTATTAGCACATCTCATTTCCATGGAGAATATTTGGCCCCACCCCATCAGTCATGGTCTACTGACTTTGAAACTTTTGCTTAGTTTACATATGTATTAGTTTGTGATATATCCGTTTAAGATGAACCACTAATGTTAAGTCAATGATATTTTGTATGCCAATGTATTGGCATTTGCAAGTTTCATTTCCATGGAGTTTATAAAGCCCCACCCCCTCATCATGGTTCATTGACTTTGAAACTTTTACATAGTTTACAAGTTAATGTTTGTGTTTAGGTTTGTTTAAAGGGAACGACTTATGATAAGTCAATGGTATTCTGTATGCAGTTGTATTAACATTGGCATATCTCATTTCCATGGAGATTGTTCAGCCATGTGCCTTCAGTCATGGTTCATCAACCTTGAATATTTGCATAACTTACATGTTAAAGTATTGCTATTTTAATTTCAACATTTGCATTATTCAAAATTACAAAAAGGCGAGACATATCTCTGTGATAACAGTTTATATTAAACTTTTATTGTATTTTTGTTATTTTTGTCGAGCCTGCGACTTTTGTCGCAGAAAGCTCGACATAGGGATAGTGATCCGGCGGCGTTAGGTAACTTCTTAAAAGCTTTATATTTTAGAAGGTGGAAGACCTGGATGCTTCATACTTTGTATATAGATGCCTTATGTTACGAAGTTTCCATCTGTCACATGTCCATTGTCCTTGACCTCATTTTCATGGTTCAGTGACTACTTGAAAAAAAAGTTCAGATTTTTTGTACTGTTAATTTCTCTCTTATTATGAGTAATAGGATAACTATATTTGGTATGTGAGTACCTTGCAAGGTCCTCAAGCTCATCAGACAGTTTTCACTTGACCTCGACCTTGTTTCATGGATCAGTGAACAAGGTTAAGTTTTGGTGGTCAAGTCCATATCTCAGATACTAGAAGCAATAGGTCTAGCATATTCGGTGTATGGAAGGACTGTAAGGTGTACATGTCCAACTGGCAGGTGTCATCTGACCTTGACCTCATTTTCATGGTTCAGTGGTTATTGTTAAGTTTTTGTGTTTTGGTCTGTTTTTCTTATACTGTATGCAATAGGTCTACTATATTTGGTGTATGGAATGATTGTAAGGTGTACATGTCTAGCTGGCATGTGTCTTCTGACCTAGACCTTATTTTCATGGTTCAGTGGTCAAAGTTAAGTTTTTGAGTTTTGGTCTTTTTTTCTAATACTATATGCAATAGGTCATCTATATTTGGTGCATGGAAATATTTTATGGTGTACATGTCAGTCTTGCAGGTTTTATTTGACCTTGACCTCATTTTCACGGTTCATTGCTCAGTGTTAAGTTTTTGTGTTTTGGTCTGTTTTTCTAATACTATAAGCAATGGGTCAACTATATTTGTTGTATGAAAGGATTGCAAGCTGTACATGTCTGCCTGGCATGGTTCATCTGACCTTGACCTCATTTTCATGGTTCATTGGTCAATGTTTAGTTTCCTTGGTTGAGTCTGTATCTTAGAAACTATAAACAATAGGTCAACAATATTTAGTGTATTGAATGATTGTAAGGTGTACATGTATTTCTTGTTTGGTTTATATGACCTTGACCTCATTTTCTTGGATCATGTCAAGTGTATGTGATAGTTGTAGTAATGCTTTATATTTAGGACTATCAACATAATATTAATGATTAGTAAAGAAGGCGAGACATTTCAGCGTGTGCACTCTTGTTATATTTCAGTATTTCTACAACATTGGGTTAACTCAATCCTAACGTATTGTAAGGTGGTATATGTGGCCATTCCAAAGATCTTGTTTGTTGCCACCCATAAAGACAAAGTACCAATGGTAAGTAATTTAGATATATACAGAAGGCTGATCAAGTCAATCTTTTTCCGTGTCCAGTTATTTATTTATAGTTCTTAATTAATTGTAACCATTAAAGACAAAGAATCAATAGTAAGTAATTTAGATGTAAACAGGAGGTGATCAAGTCAGTCTTTTCCCTGTCCAGTTATTTATTTATAGTTCTTAACTAAAGATTTAGATTGTCTTTTATTCATTTCATATAGCGTGGTTAATTTTAACTTGTGGCAAAATTCTTGTTCAATTGATCATAATTGTTTCATTCTATTGATTCATATGATTAAAAGCAGATATTTGTGTTGGTAAGTAAGACAGCAGCCCAACATCATAAAAAACCAAAGAACATTAGCAGTCAACATACAGCTATCAACAGACAAATGTATTTACAAACCAAAAAAAACTAGCAGTCAACATATCATACAGCTATCAACAATAGTCAAATGTATTTACAAACCAAAGAACATTAACAGTCAACATACAGCTATCAACAATAGACAAATGTATTTACAATACATCAAGCTCTAATTCATTTGACTGAAATAATAAAGATTGAATTTCACAATTATTAAAGATCTGCAATAACGCTAATGTAACCTTAGAATATTAATACATTTTAACTTTACTTTTACTTTAAGAGTAGGTAAAGAATACATTTAACTGTATTGAGAGTAGGTAACATCAACCTTCAATATTTTGTACAACAAATGTACAAGGTGTGTGATATCAGGTATACTTGTACAATGTAAGATTAAGTCCACACACAACAAATATTATGTTCATTGTCTACAGGCAGGTATGGAAACTTAAAGTATGTTAATTGTGAACTCAACTCAGCCTAAAATGTTAATCCCTGTCCCTGTTCCTGTACCACCTACCCATGTATTTATGATAATAGCTTTTGCCTACAGCCCATACCAGTTATGTAGTGGCCATCAAAAGACGCCCACCCCACCTGAATTTGGCTACTTTTCACGTTTTTACGATTTTGAACTCTCTAAAAGGCCATTAAAGTTGCCATATTTTCATAAACAGACATCTGAGATGAGTTTATGGATCATGAATTGCATGGTTGAAGTCTCTGCTGTCAAGACAGTTCAGCAGGGGCAGTTCCAAAAAAGTATGGAGGGTCATACGGGCCATCAAGGAATGGGGGTCGCCATCACGACTACAGGCAGGGTTTGGGCGAAAGGGTTAAATGATAAATTTTAACAAATTTTTTTTTTCTTTTTGCCTATTATCTTGAAAACAAAAGCAGATAGAGAGAGACTTAAATGAGAATTATCAGTATAAAAAGATCTACAATTATGACTCATTGCCAAATGGTCAGATGACTAATTATTGGAGTTTTAAAAGGATTTTTTACCACTTTTTTGTATTTTTGTCTTATATCTTAAAAAGTATAATAGATAGAAATAAACTTTAATTTTTAAAGCTAAAATTATCAGCAAGAAAAGATATAAGATCTACAAATAAATCAACATGGCCAGAAACTACAGTGGACTCCTTATTGGAAATATTGCCCTTAAATGATGATTGTTACCACATCTTTTTTTTTATTTTTGCCTATTATCTAGTAAACAATTACAGTTTGAGAGTAACTTTAATGAGCAAATATTATCAATATGATAAGATACACAAATAAGTCAATGCTACTGGTCCAAATTTAACCAAACTTGGCCCGATCATCATTAGTTTAAAAAATATGTCCACCAGTGACCTGCCAAGCAAGATTGACGACATGGCTAAAAATAGAACACAAGGGTAAGATGCAAGTTTTGTCTTGTATCTTGTTAACCACTGTATTGTATAAAAAAGTAAATAAGTACTCAGAAAATATGTATTGTTTGTTAAGGTCATGGTATTTTTACTATCATCATTTAGAAAAATTGTAATTTTAAAAAGAAGGATAAGGTCATATCTTAAATTATCACTTTTAAGGAGGATGTGGAGTCCAGGCGTGAGGAGTTGTACAATGGAGTAGAGGAATTGTTTAAGGACCATGAGGGACTAAACCATCTAGTCCTAACACAACGGATATTTGTCAATGCAAGGGATAACACAGATCCAGAAATTGAAGTCCTGAAGAAAGCCATCACAGAACTTACGTTTGAACATCCATGCTGGGGGGAAAAGATGCCAAATGCTTGTGTTCCCCTTGAACTCGAGATTGCAGAGCTGGTGGCAGAAGGAAAACAAATCTTGTCATTGAAGGATGTTGAAGAATTAAATGCTATAAGCAAGGTGTCTGTATTGTCCCCAGACCTACTCAATGATTTCCTTAATTTCCACCACTCACTGGGGAAGATTATCTACTTTGATACTCCACAGCTGAAAGATTTCGTAATCATCAACCCCTTACTCATGGTGGAAGTTATGAGATCCTTTGTGACAGGTATTCATGTCAATACTTATTATGAAAGTTACATGTATGAAATCCTTACTTATTAAGGAGGTTATGATGTCCATTGTAACAGGTATTTATGTCAATACTTCAAATAGTATGGAGGTCATGACAGATATTCATATGTCAATACTTAGTATGGAGGTTTTCAGGTCATTAGTGACAGGTATCTTTGTCAATACTTTTTATGGAGGTAGTGAGATCCTTTGTGACAGATATATATGTCAATACTTTTTATGGAGGTTGTGAGATCCTTTGTGACAGGTATATATGTCAATACTTATTATTGAGGTTATGAGATCCTTTGTGACAGGTATATATGTCAATACTTTTTATGGAGGTTGTGAAATCCTTTGTGACAGGTATATATGTCAATGCTTATTATGGAGGTTATGGGATCCTTTGTGACAGGTATATAACTGCTTATTATTGAGGTTATTTGATCCTTTGTGACATGTATATATGTCAATACCTATTATGGAGGTTATGAGATCCTTTGTGACAGGTATCTATATCAATACTTATTATGGAAGTTATGAGATCCTTTGTGACAGTCAATATCTATATCAATATTTATTATGGAGGTTGTGATATCCTTTGTGACAGGTATTTATGTCAATACTTATTATGGAGGTTATGAGATCCTCTGTGACAGGTATTTATGTCAATTCATATTATGATGGTTATGAGATCCTTTGTGACAGGTTTTTATGTCAAGACTTGTTATGGAGGTTAAAAGGTTCTTTGTGTCAGGTATCTATATCAATACTTATAATGGAGGTTATGAGGTCCTTTGTGACAGGTAATTATATCAATACTTATTAAAGAGGTTTTGAGGTCCTTATTGACAGATATTTATGTCAATGTCGCAATATTTCTCAGTTGCAGCATTTATAACATCTGTAGTTTTCTCTAGAAACTCACTCTGCCGTTTAGCTAACAGTTCACATATATCATGAACTTAGGATATATTTTGAGAGGGGCAAGGTGTCCTTTGGATACAAATTCTAGTTGAAGGTTAATAAATTAGTAACCTTCAAGATTTGTTTAAAATAAGATAAAAATTTGCTTTCAAGTGAACATGATTAATTACATGTTAAACATAATGTGACTTACATTCAAGTTGGTTGGTCTCTATGGGATAGTTGTTACATTGGCAATCATACCACATCTTCTTTTTTTAAAATAGTTTTTTATGTTTGTTATATTTTGCAGATAAAGTATTTTGGCCAGAGGAAACGAGAATTCAAGAAACTTTCAAAAGAATGTCAACATGTGGGACCATAAGACAGAAAGACCTCTACCTAATTTGGGAGCAAAAAGATTTCAGTGCAATTTTACCATACAAAGAATTTATATTTAACATCCTGATTCATTTGGATATTTTGGCAGAGCAGCGGAGATATGATACAACTACAGGAAGTCGCTTACCAGTGGAAAACTTCTTTGTTCCCTGTATGGTTACAGAGAGAAATACCACCAGCTTCATGGACAAAGAATGTACACCAGAGAGAGCTATATGCTTAGCGTTTCTTTTTAAAGGGACTATAATACCACCAGCTCTACCAAATCGTCTTATCAGCGCTTGTCTGAGCATGTGGACTGTCAAGCAGTATGAAGGGAGACAACTCCTGTTTTCAGGGTTTATTGGTTTATCATTTGACAAGTCACATGATATCGTTGTATGTGTTGAAGGCAACAAGATTCTCCTTTACATCATTCACAGAACCTCCTCCGGGTTAATCGTACCTGATATAGCTACAGGTGTTAAGGAATGCTTGGTTGTCACAATGGAAAGAATCTCAGATTTCTATCGGTCCACAATCCATGCAAAACGCAGCCAACAATCGCCATTTCACATTGAATATACATGTTCAAATTTGAAATGCTTCATCAGTGCAGAAGAAGCCAAGCACACCAATGGATGGATTTGTGACAAACATAACCAAACACACAAAACAGGACACTGGCGTGTTTGGAATCAAGATCAGGTGTGTTTTTCATATCAGGGAAAAAGTAAATAATCAAATGAGTAACATAATCAAATCAAACACACATTAATCATAGAATATAATATGGAACAAGCATCCGAGAGTCGTTAGTGGCCTACACTCCACCAAGGAGCAAAATGATTAATTAAGTAAGAATCCAAGAGTCAAACAAGTCATTGTACACTGGTTAAACTGTAAACCAACTCATTTTATAGTGTTGAGCCTTATCCGTTGACTTTTTATCAATTAATATTCATGATTTTCAAATTATGCTGCCTGAAAATAATTTTCTGGAGCAAATTGTAATCGTTTTCTTTGTCCATTCATCTGTTTGTCTGTTCTTCCGTCCCTCCGTGTATCAAACGTTATTCACTTGAGTATAAACTTTCTTGATTTAAATAAAACTAATGCAGATGAAAGATATAGCAAATGAAAAGAAGATTATTGATTGTTGTGTTAAATGGACAAATTTTAAAGCACAAGAAATAAATTAACAATAGTTCCATATGGTGCTGTAAGCAGCAACCCTTGCCAAGAAAATCATAATATGCTCCATATCCAAGGGGCGCTGGAATGGTGCTATATATCAAGGAAAATATAACAAAGGGGAAGCTGAAGTCCTCTCTAATAATGTAAAGTTTTGTTCTCATTAAACTCATCATAAATACTAGGATTAAAATTTTGTACACCAGACACGCTTTTCTTTTACAAAAGACTCATCAGTGATGCTCGAATCAAAATGTTTAAAAGGACCATTGAGGACCCATTATTTCAAAAAGGTTTTGCCAAATACAACTAAAGTACAAGTAATATATTCCTGGCACCGATAATCGGTTTGAAAATATTAAATAATTTGGCCTCGAGTATCACTAGTACTGAATAGACATTAATTGTTGTTGAAATAATCTATATATATAGGTACCATTAATACCAGTATCTGTATGAACGTATGTACAAGGTCATAAAAGACGGCTGTTACCAGCTGAATAAAATATAATGTGCATTTAAAACATACTTATAATAAATTATTAGAATCTGCCATACATTTTATTCAAAATAATAATTTGCATATTCATTTTTCTGCAGACTAAAGAACAGTGCGAAGAGGATTGTCAAGGTAAATATTTTGTCACTTCAAAATAACTCCAATCTGTAGAGACTTGTGTTGTGAAACCTGTTGATCTGTTTGTTTAAGTGTCCCTCTATGTACTTGGTGGAATGCTTGTGAGATCGTGAAAGGGAATATATTTATAAGAGTTATCTTTCTTAGATCTTCTGTACCACCTTATTAATTGCTGGTGATCAAAATGTACTTGTCAAGTATCTATAATCGAATATCTTGAATTTTATTTGCATGTGTTATCAATTTTTAGAGAGTATCACACAGCTTTCCTGAATTATATTAAATGGAATATTGTGTGTGTGAGAGAGATAGATAGAATCAAAAAACAAAAATGATTTGACTTTTCAAGCACAGTGTATTAATTTATATCTGGTTGATACTTGAATTTCTTTGTGGTTCATATTACATGTATGTAAGTTATATCATTATGATCGTTTTTCACAATTCTGCACTTTTTTCAAGCACTTTTCCTCATGTTTTGCATGTTGAGTAATTGAAAATCCTGGAATCCTCGGCTTTTATTTGTTCTAATGATGGTTTTGAAGGTAAAGATCATTATGCAATGTTTATTTCAGGTTTAAATGATGATGCTTTAAGCAAGACACCAAGTGATATTGAACTGTTGCGTTTTTCAAACCACTGCGAATCAAATAAAATGCATGAATTAGTTACATATCTTGGAATGGTTAGGAAATGGCAAAATATCGAATACAATCATCCTACAGATATAGAGGTTGCAAAATTTTTGATATTATCAAGTTGGAAAGAGATGAAAGTTAAATGCAATTTCAAAACTTTGTCAGAAGCTCTGATAAGCATGGGTACATCAACACATGTCTTGTGCCAAGTAAGTTTGCGCATAGTTTTAAGGATAATCTTTTAACCATTGAATGAACAATTTGAAAGTTATAGAATCTTAGACATTACACAGATAAATACTGACTGTACAAGCAAACAAAAAGAACCCAGATAAACACATACTGTTAACTCTGGTCCACTGAAATGGTGAGACCGTCCTACTCTTCTGTTGACATTCGTCGTCTTGCTCATGAAGCATGCACAGAGTAACAATATGTTAGCCATTGAATGCACAATTTGAGAGAGATAGAATTCTTGGAAATCTAATATATTGAAATGTTTGAATAGAAATTAGAAGACAGTGGAAGTGCTGCAGAAGAGCAAACTTGTTTTATTGGTTGTCAATCTGACTAATATATTCTGTATTGTTATGAGTTACAATTTATGACTAAAATCAGCAAAGACCCATCGAAACAACATCTGATACAAAAATTCAATAATATTTTTAGATATTTGGATGATATATTGGCTCTCAATAATGACGACTTCAGTATGTACACTAAAGAGATTTATCCTGTTGAACTAACTTTAAATAAAGCTAATACTAACAATAAACACTGCCCTTTCCTGGATCTTGATATCTATATCATTAACTGGAAGCTTTTAAAATACCAAAATTTGTGATAAAAGAGATGATTTTTCATTTCCTATTGTTAATTATCCATTTTTAGATGGTGACGTTCCCTTGTCACCATCCTATGGTGTTTATATATCTCAACTTGTACGATTTGCTCGTGTATGTAACAACGTATTAGATTTTAGCGAAAGAAATCTATGTATTACTGAAAAAATATTAAACCAGGGTTTTCGATATCACAAACTAGTCAAAACATTTACTAAATTTTATCATCGGTACAAGGACATCATTCGTAAATATAAATCAACATGCAGACATCTTTTACGTTGAGGTATTTCACATCCAATCTTTTTATGGTAATATTCTTTACAAAGCACAAAGATGTCGGCATTCACCTCAAAAGCTAACAAAACCTTTAAACAGGGTGCGGGATTTTCTCGCTGTATTGAAGATCCATTGGTGGCCTTCGGCTGTTTATTGCTCTTTGGTCGGGTTGTTGTCTCTTTGACACATTCCCCATTTCCATTCTCAATTTTAATGCCGAGAAAGTTGCAAATATAATTTCAATGTTTGCCTTACAAACAATCTAACAAAGTGTCTATTTCATAATAACTCTGTCGTATGGCAAAAGATATGAAAAAGATATACTTTTACTGTTTGTTTCTGTAAATATATAAAATCAAATATTGTTGTCAATGGGGTTTAAATCTTTGTCTGTCAATATGTAAAATCAAATATTGTTGTCAATTGGGTTTTAATCTTTGTTTTCAGGTAAGAAGAGTCATGAAAGCAGAAACAGGTACGTTGTTATACAGTCACCTAATACATAGAGAATATCACATGGCTTTTTGAATATCGCATCCGTATCAACCTGAGACACCAATAAAATCCCAAGAGCTCTGATAGAGGGATTATATTGGTTAAGGGTTGATAAGGTATGTGATATTGAAAAAGCCATATCATATACACTTTATTACTGTGGATTCATTAATTTTCGTTGGATATCAATTTTCGTGGATTTCGTGGGTACAGATGAACCACGAAATTAAATATTCAACGAATAACAAATTTGCTATAGGCTTGTATGAAGACGTCGGCAAAACCACGAAATTAAATATCCACGGACATGTAAGTTTTCCTCAATCCACGAAAATAAATGAATCCACAGTATATACATATACCTCACGTAGATGTTTTTTTATGTGGCATGACGTCATACAGATAAGGAGGTTTAAATGACGTCCTGCATATTATAGCTTTGACATGACGTCATTCAGATTAGGGGTTTGATAAAGCCTTTGCAACAGTGACTGCAATCGATGACGTGATGTCATACAGATTAAAGGTGTGATAAAGCCTTTGCAACTGTGCTGATATCGATATCATCACGGGTGGCTGATACAGCATGCTATTACACATACAATTTATCTGTATTTACTACTAAGTATATAATGAATTGTAATTAAGTCACCTCATACAAAGTTAATATTGTTTATCTTCTATTAAAGTGTAAAGTTCATTTTACAATGTGATAAGATAAAATCTGCTGCCATGCTGCAGGATTTATTAAGATGAACAGCTTAACTTTTTAGCTCACCTGGCCCAATGGACTAAGTGAGCTTTTCTCATCACTTGGTGTCCGTCGTCCGTTGTCTGCTGTTAACTTTTACAAAAATCTTCTCCTCTGAAACTACAGGGCCAAATTTAACCAAACTTGGCCAAAATCATCATTGGGGTATCTAGTTTCAAAAACTCTGTCCAATGACCCAGCCTGCCAACCAAGATGGCCGATATGGCTAAAAATAAAAAAAAGGGGTAAAAAGCAAGTTTTGTCTATTATTTTGAAAACCGTAATAAATAGAGAAAATCTGACAAAGGTAGAAATGTTCAGAATGTTGAACTCTATCAACTGTCCATATACAAATATATTTCAAAACTGTCAGACGACTTCTTATAGTAGCCTTTTCAATAGTCGTATGTCGCGAAAAGGCCGATAACTCAACTTTAGAATTTAAGTCTTTTGGAGACGGTCAATTTCCAGAATTGCATACTTTATCATCACCATTTTTTTTCTTTGGCCGTCGATTAAGACACAAGTGCTGCATTCTTTGACAATAAAGTATTTTTAACAAGACAGTATTATCAATGTATTATCATGGTATCAACATATGTTAGTAATGTTAGAATACCTGAATTAATTGTTATTTCGGCAAGGACAATTCATCACTTCCCCTGAACACATGATTTTGTACCACTTCACTTATCGGCATCTCCGGGCCGCATAACAGATCAAATTCCTGGTGATTTTTACTACGGCATTTACATTTTATTAATTCCTACATACTACCGCTTTTTTATATCAATTTTTGTTTATATTATCAACAAATATGAGTAAAATACTAGCTCGAGTTGTCGTTCGTAGTGTATAGTTTGTTCCAAAAACAATTTTTGTTTCTGGTACAGTTTGGCAGTTGTTTATTAACAATAAAGTTGTTTTAACTATAAAGAATTTTATCTCCTGTGTGTGTGTTTTTTTTTTTTTAATTTGTAATTTTTCAGAGCAAAAAAACAAATGTTTCTAATATGCATGTCGCAGACAGGATTAATATATATGTAATTGTTATTTCCCTTGTTTAAAACTTAAATTTCATGTTTCTTCATTTAACGATTTTCATGATGCTTATTCAGTACATATGTGTTAAATTAAATAGATATTGCTATTTTGAATTCATTTGTTAAAGATATTTATTTATATTCTAAAGTTTAGTATTTGCATCATTGCAAATCGTTTATAACCTTATTTGAGAGACTTATACATTTTATATAATGGGTTTGGAATTGTAAGTTTTAATTGTACCTTTCGCGCGAAGACTGTATAGAAAAGTAGCCATTCAAGCTCGATAAACATATTATAAATTGTCTAAGGACTAAAGTGTAAACCGACCAAGGAAAGCTTTGCTCTTGCAAATCTCCCTATGAGGCCAGTTAGTGCATCTGCCATATGCCTACTTCATACGGGTAGTTATTGAATGCTTCATTTCTTAACATGTTTGGTCTACATGCTAAGTTGTACTTATTATACCCCGAACAACGAGTTGCGGAGGGTATAATGTTTTTGACCCGTCCGTCTGTCAGTCCGTCAGCCTGTCAGTCCGTCAGTCCTATTTCTTGTCATCGCAACTCCTCTCAAACCACACAACAGAATTTCACGAAACCTTTTTAGATAATAAGGACATACTATGTAGATGTGCATATATATCGACAGGAAATTGCTATTCAAATTTTTTTCTAGGAGTTACGCCCCTTTGAACTTGTTTACTTTAATGTACTACTGCAACAGTTTGTGATCGCAACTCCTCTGATACCACACAACAGAATTTCATGAAACCTTTTTAGATAATAAGGACAAACTATGTAGATATGCATATTGACAGGAAATTGCGGTTCAATTTTTTTTCTAGGAGTTGCGCCCCTTTGAACTTATTTGCTTCAATGTACTACTGCAACAGTTTGTCATCGCAACTCCTCTGATACCACACAACAGAATTTCATGAAACCTTTTTAGATAATAAGGACATACTATGTAGATGTGCATATCGACAGGAAATTAGGGTTCAATTTTTTTTCTAGGAGTTAAGCCCCTTTGAACTTATTTGCTTCAATGTACTACTGCAACAGTTTGTGATCGCAACTCCTCTGATACCACACAACAGAATTTCATGAAACCTTTTTAGATAATAAGGACATACTATGTAGATGTGCATATCGACAGGAAATTATGGTTCAATTGTTTTTCCAGGAGTTACGCCCCTTTGAACTTATTTGCTTCAATGTACTACTGCAACAGTTTGTCATCGCAACTCCTCTGATACCACACAACAGAATTTCATGAAACCTTTTTAGATAATAAGGACATACTATGTAGATGTGCAAATCGACAGGAAATTATGGTTCAATTTTTTTCTAGGAGTTACGCCCCTTTGAACTTATTTGCTTCAATGTACTACTGCAACAGTTTGTGATCGCAACTCCTCTGATACCACACAACAGAATTTCATGAAACCTTTTTAGATAATAAGGACATACTATGTAGATGTGCATATCGACAGGAAATTAGGGTTCAATTGTTTTTCCAGGAGTTACGCCCCTTTGAACTTATTTGCTTCAATGTACTACTGCAACAGTTTGTGATCGCAACTCCTCTGATACCACACAACAGAATTTCATGAAACCTTTTTAGATAATAAGGACATACTATGTAGATGTGCATATCGACAGGAAATTAGGGTTCAATTTTTTTTCTAGGAGTTACCCCCCTTGAACTTATTTGCTTCAATGTACTACTGCAACAGTTTGTCATCGCAACTCCTCTGAAACCACACAACAGAATTTCATGAAACTTTGTAGATAATAAGGACATACTATGTAGATGTGCATATTGACAGGAAATTATGATTCAATTTTTTTTTCTTATACAATTTTTTTTTCTTACACATATTTTATTTCTCCAATGACAATGTGGGGACGTGGGGTATGTGAGCGCACTCACTAAGGTTCTTTAATTGAATAAGTTATATATTGTTTTCACTGTTTTTTGGTTTTCTTATACTTACATATTTAGATAGCGCTTTTACATCAGGCATCCATCGTCTCCGTATAAATCAATTCACAAACTAGAACAAGCTGTTGTCTGCATCCCCATATCTCCTGCAGAATTGCTCCTGCTACATACATGAACCCGCCCCCTTTTCTTTTATGGCTATATGTGAGGGGGTTGGACAGGAGGCATTGATTCTCAGTTCCCTCCCCCAAATTTCTACTTCATAGGGTATTGTGTTTCACTGTTCTCCTTTGTTTTCGTCAAGCATGAATTATCTCTGTTTAACAACCTTTTCCTCACAGTTAATACCACCCTGTCTCCAGCTTCCATCAACCCAATTTCCACTTCCAGCCGTCTCATTCCGGAGTTCCAATAATTCTTTTCACCCCCTCCCAGTGTCACAATGACTCGCACCCATTAACAACCCATCATTTGGCCACAAAGTATATTATACTTCCATAGGCTGAATTATTTCCAATATGCAATAATTACGAGTCAGGACTTTTGCTTTAAAATGGCAATTTTTTTTAACACATCTCGGTTTTAACTTTGATGTGTTTTCTAAATTTTAAATCAAATAAAACAGTTTTTACTTTCAACTATATATGGCCTCAACGCACACAAGAACACTACAAACTGTCCCTTCACAAATTTGCTGTCAAGATAACAAAAATGTACTGTTTCAATAAATATAATAGCAATAAATTCATAGTCACTTTTAAAAGTTTCTATAGTATATTTTGAAAAAGAATCAAACTTCCATACACTCAATTGAATTTCCAATGTTTCAATGCATTAAATTGTCATTCTTACCTATTTGTTTTATGGCGTCCTTATTACCCTATAATGAATTAAAATAAATCCACAAAGTTTACACAGCAAATCAACATTAAGGGTTTTTAAAAAGTTAAATTTGCGGTCCCAAAGTGAGGAACTAATTATAAAGCATGGGTAGGCAAAATACCTAGAAGATGTTTTAAAAAATAGACTATAGTTGATGAGCTACCTCCTCATATAAAAAGATTTATCTCCCCTGTGATTAAAACACATTGAGATTGAATTGTCTCCCTTTGGTGATTTTTTATTGGTTAACAATAGTTAAATAAAGGAAAAAGGCTAATACTTTCAAGTTCAAGGTCTCACAAAAGCATTTTTACCTGTTATTCTAATTTTACATTGAAAAACTAAAATTAGATGGAAAGGCTACTTATAGTAGTTATTGCCCTTAAATGACAATTTTATCCTTTTTTTTTTTATTAATTTTGGCCTATTATCTTGAAAACTATAATAAATAGAGAGAAACTTTTAATTGCAAAAGAGATCAGCAAGACAAGTTCTAAAATTAGTCTTATTGTTGAAATTGTCAATCGAATCCTTATTAGAGTTATTGCCATTTGATGACGATTTTTATTTTTCCTTTTTTTTTTTTGGCGTTTTTTGGCTTATACAGTATCTTAAACATGTTAAAATTATAATAGATAAATAGAAACTTTAATAAGCAAAAATGATCAGCAAGAAAAGATCTACAATTAAGTCAATGGAGTGGAAATCGTCTGACAGCTTCTTATTCGAGTTATTCTCCTTTAATGACATTTTTTTACCATTTTTTTTTCGTTTTGTCTTAGGTTATATGATAAAAAGTATAATAGATAGATAGAAACTTAAATAAGCAAAAGTGATCAGCAGGACAAGATCTACTAACAAGTCAAATTTTGCCAATAAAGTTAGTAGACTGTCACTCTTTATACGAGTGACTGCCCTTAGATTAGGATTGTTTTTATTCTCTTGTGTGTTTTGAGCAAAAACTAAAGAAGATAGAGAGAAACAGATGTTTGTCATGAAATCCTATTCTTGTCTACAATGTTGGAGAGTGTCCTTTGTTGAATATTCATAAATACCAAGGTGAGCTACATGGGCCCTTTAGAGCCTCCAGTTTGTTTTACATTGCTATGAACCTAATATCGTGATAGACACAAATTACAAGGCTTTTTTTTTACTATTGACCCGGGCTATAGGCTTAATTATCAGAATGCAAACATTAAGAGCAAGGTACTACTTATCACCATGAGACAGGCTTAATTATCAGAATGACAAGCATTAAGAACAAGGCACTGCTTATCACCATGAGATAGGCTTAATTATCAGAATGACAAGCATTAAGAGCAAGGTACTGCTTATCACCATGAGACAGGCTTAATTATCAGAATGACAAGCATTAAGAACAAGGCACTGCTTATCACCATGAGACAGGCTTAATTATCAGAATGACAAGCATTAAGAACAAGGTACTGCTTATCACCATGAGACAGGCTTAATTATCAGAATGACAAGCATTAAGAACAAGGTACTGCTTATCACCATGAGACAGGCTTAATTATCAGAATGACAAGCATTAAGAACAAGGTACTGCTTATCTCATATCATTCAAATTTTCACAGATCAATGAATTTGACAGTATTTTGAAGTTATTTAATTTTTTTATAAAGTGAGTTAATGTTTCAGATATTCCTGCAGATTACTTGGATTATATTCCAACAGATGAGATTATAGATGCATTAGCACCACAGATTGGTCAGGTTTTTTTTCAACTTGGGACTGAAATTGGGCTATCCATTGCAACCCTGGAAAATATACAGAGCAACAATCCTTCTGACTTAGCAGAACAGAATAGGGTCGTATTATTTAAGTGGAGAGAAGACCAACAAATCAAACCTACATTACGGGTCCTTATTCAGGCTTTATTTAACTTTGGGAGAGGAGCACGTTGTTTAGAAGAAGTTTTAAAGAATGTTGATCTGAACACCCTTATAGTTTCACAACAATCGAGAGGTAAAGGAGCAATTCAAAAGAAACTAAAAACAGAATCAGAACAGATACTACAGAGTCAGCGACAGTCACAGAATATTGGTCTGAATACACTGATACATTCACAACAATCGAGAGGTGAAGGTGCAATTCCAAAGAAACCAAAAGCAGAATCAGAACAGATACTACAGAGTCAGGGAAAGTCCAAAAATGTTGGTATAAACACATTGACAGGTTCACAACAATCGAGAGGTGAAGGTGCAATTCCAAAGAAACCAAAAATAAAACCGAAAAAGGTACCACAGACTCGGCGAAAGGTGTTAAAAAAATGTTCAATAGCTTAAAAGTAGACACAATTGTGCAATTCAGAATGGAAAATATACTACAGGAAAAAATACTTTTTTTTCCACAACAATCATTTCTATTAAGCATTCAAATGATTCATCACCTTTATTCGATGTGGTTTGTCATAACCTTTACAGATATTCTTCTTTGAAAAATTCATAACGGAAAGTCATTTATCAAATTTCAAAATCAAACACATTAAACGAATGAATAACAAAATTCATATTACGGTCTTTGTACAGGCATTTCCTTATCATGTTATAGAGAAAATGGTGGATGGTCTTGAAGTATAGATTTTGCGTACTGACGTTGTTTATCATCTTAATAACGTGTTATAGTATTCTTTTATTTATCTTTATAATATTACTTTTACTGTTAAGTTTGTTTTTTTGAGATATCCATTTGACGTGACTCTGTGCTTATGTATCCCGTCATACTTTGAACGACAAAATTATTTTATTTATTAATATTACTTTTACTGTTGAGTCTGTTTTTTGTGATATACATTTGACGTGACTCTGTACTTATGTATATCGTCATACTTTGTACCACACAATTATTTTATTTTATATTATTAATATTACTTTTACTGTTAAGTCTGTTTTTTGTTATATCCATTTTACGTGACTCTGTATTTATGTATCCCCTAATACTTTGAACGACAAAATTATTTTATGTCTACCTGTGCGAATTTCAAACACGCTTCTTCGTTACATTTGTTTGTTTTTATAGTGATTAAGATGATAACACAATGTTGACTACTGTACCCCTATTTTTGACATTTTTACCTATTGTGTCTGTTTGTTTTGTTCACGCATCGTTGTCAATATAATGGAATTTGATGGGACTGTCATACAAGTGAGAGGTTTAGCTAGCTATAAAACCAGGTTCAATCCACCATTTTCTACATTAGAAAATGCCTGTACCAAGTCAGGAATATGACAGTTGTTATCCATTTGTTTGATGTGTTTGTTTTTTTTGATTTTGCCATTTGATTGGGGACTTTCCTTTTTGAATTTTCCTCGGAGTTCAGTATTTTTGTGATTTTACTTATTAAACCTGGAAGGGCAGACTACAAATGTTCAGATAACACACTTTTTTTTATTAAATTAAATTATCCACAAGTGACGTTTGTCCTCAAGTACTTTTGGTAAAAATATGTTATTCATACACACCTACTCTGTTGTAATGACTCATAAGAAAGGTATGACCCATATATTTCATTTTTAGGACTGTGAAGTTTTAATGTTATTATATTAACCTGTGTAGCCTATATATATATATAAAAATGATAAAATCTATAGCGAAATGGGGTATCAAATATTTTTGCTTTATACGTTTTCAAGACAGAATAATCAACCCAAACAAGCCTGAACATAAAAAAGTTGCACTCGACTTTTCTTTTCGATGAAATTATTGCCATTTTTTGCCTTTTTTCTCAAAATAACTATGACCGTGGGCAGAGATGCAGACTTATGCTTTAAAAGATCCATCTTTTATCTTTCTGTGAAATTTTCGGCGGATTTATGCTTTTTGCACAAAAAAGATCCTCACGTATTGCACCTACGACAATCAACTGCAATATTGCTACATATAAGGATCCCAATGATGATATTTTCACCAGGATTCTGATTACATATTTGGATTCTCCATTTTTCCCGATAGTGTTTACATCTAAATATTCACCATCACGTTATTTTCACCAAGTTGGTATCATATTAAGATTCTTTCTCATTTTATTTTCACAATATTTTTTAGGCTCTAAAACACACACTGCAAAACACCTCTTTGGGTAAAGCTGAGTACAATGCACCACAAATGACTACAGATAGGTTTCAGAAGTGCCCTAGGATAAACATTGTATATTAATTGAAAAAATAAATGTCATGTTTTACGAAAACAAACTTTATTGATATATAACTCTTTTGTTACAGAAGATTTATGAAGCAGAGTTACTAAATATGCTCTGATTCAAGCTAATAAAATGTTCCTTTTTTTACATATATGTAACCTAAAGTCTGAGTTTAGGGATTGGATAAAAGCAAGAATATTATGAATAGTATTAAAATAGACCTACAAAAAATGTATTAATTTTCAAACTTTCTGGTCATTGTTTTGTTTTAAGTTGTGAACGTTAACATTACAAAAATGAAGTCATTAATTTTGTCAGCCAATATACCGTATAGCGGGTTATTTTCGCTTATTTTGGCGGATGAAAGTAAATTGCGAAAAATAAATTCCGCGAAAATTAATGCATATTTTTGTTACTTTCTAATAGCTAAAGCGTTGGTCGGTAGGTCAATAATGGTATGGGTTATTTTAACAACATAAACAAAAAGGGCATTGAACATACATGTATTTTGTAAAATGACTGTCACGTGTGTACATTCTTAAATTTTTTGTATACTTTGTTGCCCCTAAATCGCGAAATTTTACACCCGCGAAAATAACCCGCTATACGGTATTTACTTGGTTAGTTGATTATTTGCAAAGAAAAGGGTCATAAAGCCCTTTTGTTACCTCACACTAATAAGAAAAGAAAGGTGGTTTATTCAAATGTCTTCTTGAATGATATGTTTGGATACAAGTTCCAGGCACACAGTTATCGTCCTTTGATTATCGTTGAAAAGATTCCCTAGTGTGGACAGCGTTTAACTTGCAATTTTTTTTCATACGACTTCTAAATTTATCTCTTTACATTTTATGCATGAAATAGTAAGTAGGGGGTGAAATTACATGTAAAAAAAATTGGGGCATTAATTTTAGGTAAAGTAGTGTTTTGGTCCAGTTTGAAAAATTAGTATGTCAGAGGCTGTCAAACTGAATTACAGACCCCTTAACATAAAATTATCCATATTTTGTGTAAGAGTGGTTAGACTTTTCTATAATTGTTTTATAATTTGTCCCAAAAAGTAGTACACTACACTGTAAAAATCTTTTTTTGATAGAGCAGGTGCGATTTTTTCTAATTTGGGTGTTTTGTCTACGAAATAACTGTTCTCGAGCCAAAAGGGAGATGTGGGTTGTATTTTGTTGAGACAGGAACCCCAACGTAAAAAATATCCGAAATGATACTTCCCATTTCAATTCTCAATTTTATTTATCAACTTTCAGTTGATAGAAAAAAAACATTTTCTGAATCTAAATTCTAATTGAGATTATTTTGTATAAATCAGCCCATACAATACAAATTAACAAAGCTGAATAAATTAAGATGTTGGGTATATGCCAATAACAAACAACCCAACGACACAAATAACCAAATAAAGGCTATACCGTCAACGTTCACTTTCTGGTATTTCACAGCCAATTTTCTTTACGTGATTTCATTTTGGTAGATACTATTTTTTCCAGACAAATATATTTGATAAAACAAAGTGTATATCAACATTTCTGAAATACAGATTTTCAAACTATAGCTCTTAGATATATCCAAAATTGTCTAAACAGACACAAATTTTCTATTCATGTTAATTTCCATCCTTCAAAATTCATTGTTGCATGGAAAATGAGATGTTATATTTTTAGTTTACATTGTATCATGTGTGTTTGTGTTGATCTCTTCTGTTTATCATTGTGTCATATTTGTAATTTATTTTTGATTGCTATGTAGCATGTATATGCTTTTTGCAAGTAAACTCATTTATTCAATCATTCATTCATTAAAATTTTAATAAGGTGGATTGTGCTCCATTGTGCATAACGGAGGTCCTTTCGTGGTGTTTAGAGACCCAAAAATGTGTGGGTTAATTAAGATTATCTGCCATTATTTTCCCCATTATATTAACACAATAGGATTATTTGCCAAGTTATTGTATTTGCCATAATGTCATCATACCAGGATTTTCGATAATATTATAATTATTTTACCATTAAAGATTTAAAAGATGATTTCCTTTTAACATTTTTGCACCATATTATGATTCCTGATATGTTGATTATAAATATAATAAACTGTTTTCTTAAATAAATCTTTTTATCTTATTTTACATATGCTACATATATTTAGTACCCTTAGTTGATTAGGAGCTGCTCACCCTTTCAGATAAATGAGTTCACCTCTAGTTTTGTTCCCTGATTTTTTTGGGGGTGGAATATAGTAATTGCTTTGTCTTCCGTCTGCCCATATCTGAGTGTCTGAAACAAATAATTTTTGGATGATGACTTGAGTATACCTTGATTGATTGGAATGAATCTTATTCATTGGGGAGAAAAGTCCCATTGATTTTGGGGTTAAGAGGTCAAAAGTCACTGTTACTAATAATAGATACAAATTAACAGCATTGACATTAACCATTCTAATTCAAAATTCAATCATTGCATCCACTGAATTCACCCACTTATAGATCTAGTTTTCCAAAACATAGCAGACAAGTTAACTGTTCTGATCGCATGATTGGTATTCCTCACAGCATTAACGAGTTTTAGAAGAAAACATATGTACATGTATGCTCAAGTTCATTCTGTTCTTGTATTCAGTTGTCTTTGTCTCGCCTTAGACGAAAGAATGCGAGACGTAGGGATTACAATCCGGCTGCAGCTTAACTATTTGTATAAGGCTTTATATTCAAATAATGGTAGACCTGGAACTTCATTCGTTGTATACAGATGCCTTGTTACGAAGTTGCCATCAGTCTTATGTCTATTGTCTTGACCTTTTTCATGGTTCAGCCACTGTTCGACAAAAAAGTTTAGTTTTTTCTTTTGTTAATTTCTCACTTATCAGTAAAGAGATAACTATATCTTGTATATGTGTTCTTTGAAAGGTCTGTATGTCAGTCAAACACTTGACCTCAACCTCATTTTCATTGGTCAATGTTAAGTTTTACTGGTTAAGTCTGTTTCTCAGATACTATAATTATATATAAGCAAGACAGTCAACTGCATTTGATGTATGGATTGATTGCAAGGTGTACGTGTCTGTCTAGCAGGGTTCATCTGACCTTGACCTCATTTTTATGGTTCATTGGTCAATATTAAGTTTTCATGATTTGGTCTGTTTCCTGTATAGTATAAAGAATAGTTCAACTATATTTGGTGTATATAATGATTATTAGGTGTACATGTTTGTCGGGCTTTAGTTATCTGACTTTTGCCTTATTTTAACGGATCATTGATGATGTTAAGTTTATGTGATATGTGTAGTAAAACTATCTGTTGGACTATCAACATTAAATAAATCATAACAAGTAGAGCAGGCGAGACCGTTTCAGTGTGTGAATTCTTGTTTAAGGAAAACATGTAAGTCTTTTAAAATAAAATGGTAAAAAGTTAAATCACCAAAAAAATGAACTCCGAGGAAAATTCAAAACGGAAAGTCCCTAATCAAATGGCAAAATCAATTGGACAAACACATCAAACGAATGGACAACAACTGTCATATTCCTGACTTGGTACAGGCATTTTCTTATGTAGAAAATGGTGGATGAAACCTGGTTTTATAGCTATCTTAACCTCTCACTTGTATGACAGTCGCATCAAATTCCATTATATTGACAACAATGTGTGAACAAAACAAACAGACATAATAGGTAAAAATGTTACCATAAAAGGTAATCCTCATTATGATGTCTTATATTTGTGGAAACACAAGATTGTATAATATGTCAATCATTTACAATTGTTCACCAGAAATGATTTTTATTGGTTATCACACTTCAAAGACGTTATACACAAATCACCTAAAAGCGAGAGAGACAGTGGATACCAAAGGGACATTCAAACTAATAAGTCTAAGATGAACTGACAACGCCATGTCGAAGAACGAAAGACGACTAAAAGACTAAATAAAAGTCTACAAAAAACAAAGTAAAAAACTAAGCTAATATTTGCCATTATAAATAAATAAATTTAATTCTTGGTGTACTTGGATATGCTGAATTCAACCATGTATTAAGATTTTGGATATAAGACCATAATATGTATGCCCATTTTTAATATTTTTAGTTCTTTGACCACATTCATTTTGTGTCAGAACCCTATATGTCAAATATCAAAAGCACAATCCAAATTCAGAACTGTATCGAGCTTGAAAGTAGTGTCCATACTTGCCCTAAATGTTTAGGGGATCGACCTCTGCGGTCGTATCAAATTGCACCCAGATGTCTTAGGACGACGACAACGCTGACAACGTGATAACATTTTACGACGGCAAACTATTTGCAGTCGTAAAAAATTCTGAATGCATGTTTATAATACAGGGTTATAATAATTCTTATTTTGAGAAGACCCTCACTGATTCTATCAGAAAATACACTGAAGATGATATTATCAAAATGCTGGACTTTTTTATCGAATATATATGTGTTAGGATTGATATTTCAACATAGTCGGTATTCCAATAGGGACTAATTGTGCTCCTCTTCTGGTCGATTTGTTTTTGTACTCGTATGAAGCAGAATTCATTCAGAACCTTCAAAAACAAAAAAATACCTTGTGAGATTCTTTAGTTTTACTTTCAGATATATTGATGATGTCCTATCACTGAATGACCCATATTTTAGTCAGTACTTGCATCTCGTGTATCCCAGTGAACTTGAAATTAAAAAGGATACTACTGATACTAGAAAGACTGCTTCATAGCGTTCCTCAATATTGACCCAGATGGACGACTTCACACTAAAATCTATGACAAACGGGTTGATTTCAACTTCCCAATTATCAATTTCCCTTTTCTCAACAGTAACATACCCTCTGCTCCGTCGTATGGCGTTTACATATCCCAATTAATACTTTATGCTCATGCATGTTCTAACTATATGGACTTCATATACAAGAGTGTGATCCTTACACAGAAACTGCTCCAACAGAGTTATGAGGAGGAAAGATTAATAAACTGCTTCGCTGAGCGCAGCTGGATACGCATGCAGAGGTCCAACCCTGAACAGTTGGGGCAAAAATGGACACAATATTCAAGCTTGATACAGGTCTGAATTTGGATTGTATTAAATATTTGACATATAGGTTTCTGAATAAATGTAGTCAAAGAACTTGAAATTGGTAATATGAATTGAATTTATATTCAATTAAAGATTTCTTGCTGTTGTGCAATACACTGTGCTGTTGCGCAATACTTAGTAAATCTGTTGTCAGACTATAAACAATTAAAGTCCAATTAATTCTTAATGTCATATTAGAAATTTCTTAAAATGTAAAGGGAGCTTCATGAGAATTGCTGACAGCATTTTTGAGTAATTGTCCGAAAACTGGAAAATCCCCCCTTTTTAGCTCACCGGGGCCCTTCGGGCCCCATGTGAGCTTATGCCATCACTTGGCGTCGTCGTCTGTCGTCGTCGTCGTCGTCTGTCGTCGTCGTCGTCTGTCGTCGTCGTCGTCGTCTGTCGTCGTAAACTATTTCAAAAATCTTCTCTGAAACTACAGGGGCCAAATACCTTCAAACTGTAACTAAATGTTCCTTAGGGTATCTAGTTTATAAATTGTATCCGAAATTTTGATCCATCGACAAACATGGCCGCCATGGCTAAAAATAGAACATAGGGTCAAATGCAGTTTTTGGCTTATATCTCAAAAACTAAAGCTTTTAGAGCAAATCTGACATGGGGTAAAATTGTTCAATTGGTCAAGATCTATCAGCTTGAAAATTTTCAGACGAATCAAACAATCCCATTGTTGGGTTGCTGCCACCGAATTGGTAGTTTTAACAAAATTTTGCAGTTTTTTGTTATTATTTTGAATATTATTATAGATATATATAAACTGTAAGCAGCAGTAATGTTCAGCAGAGTAAGATCTACAAAAAAGTTAAGCTGACCAAAATTGTCAATTGACCCCTTAAGGAGTTATTGCCCTTTAAAGACAATTTTACACAATTTGTTCATCAAGTTTGCTAACATTTAAAAATCTTCTCCTCTGAAATACAGGTGAGCGATTCAGGCTCTTGAGAGCCTCTTGTTTAATGAATAAAACCCCATAACTCAGAAATGTAAAATGTAAAATTTATAAAATTCTAAACGGAGCTTACATCAATAGATATAAACAATTCACCAAAGTTTCATAAGAACTGCTGAAAGCATTTTTGATTTTTGTCCGAAAACTTGAAAATCACCCTTTTTTAGCTCACAGGGGCCCGAAGGACCCCATGTGAGCTTATGCCATCACTTGGCGTCCGTCGTCTGTCGTCGTCGTCTGTCGTCGTGAACTATTTCAAAAATCTTCTCCTCTGAAACTACTGGGCCAAATACCTTCAAACTTTAACTAATTGTTCCTTAGGGTATCTAGTTTATAAATTGTATCCAAAGTTTTGATCCATCGACAAACATGGCCGCCATGGCTAAAAATAGAACATAGGGGTCAAATGCAGTTTTTGGCTTATATCTCAAAAACTAAAGCTTTTAGAGCAAATCTGACAAGGGGTAAAATTGTTCAATTGGTCAAGATCTATCAGCTCTGAAATTTTCAGACGAATCGAACAACCCATTGTTGGGTTGCTGCCACCGAATTGGTAGTTTTAACAAAATTTTGCAGTTTTTTGTTATTATTTTGAATATTATTATAGATATATATATAAACTGTAAGCAGCAGTAATGTTCAGCAAAGTAAGATCTACAAAAAAGTTAATATGACCATAATTGTCAATTGACCCCTTAAGGAGTTATTGCCCTTTAAAGACAATTTTACACAATTTGTTCATCACGTTTGCTAACATTTAAAAATCTTCTCCTCTGAAACTACTGGGCCAATTACCTTCAAACTTTTAACTAAATGTTCCTTAGGGTATCTTGTTTATAAATTGTATCCGAAGTTTGTATCCATCGACAAACATGGCTGCCATGGTTAAAAATAGAACATAAGGGTCAATTGCAGTTTTTGGCTTATATCTCAAAAACTAAATCTTTTAGAGCAAATGTGACATGGGGTAAAATTGTTTAATTGGTCAAGATCTATCGGCCCTGAAATTATCAGACGAATCGAACAACCCATTGTTGGGTTGCTGCCACCGAATTGGTAGTTTTAACAAAATTTTGCAGTTTTTTGTTATTATTTTGAATATTATTATAGATATATATAAACTGTAAGCAGCAATAATGTTCAGCAAAGTAAGATCTACAAAAAAGTTAATATGACCAAAATTGTCAATTGACCCCTTAAGGAGTTATTGCCCTTTAAAGACAATTTTACACAATTTGTTCATCAAGTTTGCTAACATTTAAAAATCTTCTCCTCTGAAATACAGGTGAGCGATTCAGGCTCTTGAGAGCCTCTTGTTTATGAATAAAACCCTGTAACTCGGAAACGTAAAATCTAAAATATATAAAAATCGAAAGAGAGCTCATGTCAATAGATATAAACATTTCCCCACAATTTCTTGCAAGTTGGTGAAAGCATTCTTGAGTTCTTGTCCGAAAACTGAAAAATCCCCCTTTTTTTAATGAATAAAACCCCATTACTCGGAAACGTAAAATCTTAAATTATAAAAAACGAAAGGGAGCTCACGTCAATAGATATAAACAATTCACCAAAGTTTTATGCAAATTGGTTAAAGCGTTTTTGAGTTAATGTCCGACATGTTGGCGTCGGACGGACAACGGTATATACCCTAATACGTCCCGTAAACGGGCGTATAAAAATGACACTCCGTAAATTTTATGGACACCATCACGAATTGGTTGATCTATACGATGTGTTTGTGTCTAAACTGACTAACGACATTTTAACCACGTCTTAGATTGTGAATTAACATCTATGTCGTCGGTCTGCTAAGTACCGAACGTTACCAATTCCTGAATATGAATGTTTATCGAGTGTGAATTTGCATTGCTATACGACGTGTCTCGGTTTTTATACATCCAACATTCATGTTTAAGTTATGCTTCTTTAGTGGGATCGGTTGGATATTGTGTTATGTCTTATCGTTAGTGGTTTGAATTCTGTATTGTCGGTACATTTCACATATATCTTATTTGTCAGTATAGTCGAGTTAATTTCCATTTTCCAAGTATAAAGTTTGTGTTAGTCCAAATAAGTATGACGTCGTCACAGCATTAATTTAAAATAGCCTTTCAAGACCGTCATAATCATGGTAATTATTTGGACTAGTATTGTGAAATAATTGTTAATTTTTGGATCTCGTTTCATGTGATTGTATGAATTTCAAGATTACATATACGTCACAAAAAAACTCCACGGTTTGTGGTGTGCTGTGCTGTTGTTTTAAAAGGAAGTGTTCGTTGTTATTATACAGTTTACATGTTGAAATGTACTTTTATATTATTTATTTATGCGTTTCTCTGTGCTGAGTGTTCTTGCGTTTGTTTGTACTGTATTCCTGTCACGTAGTGTTGTCATTTTAGCGATATTTTTTAACATTGCCATATAAGCGGGAGGTTTGGCTAGCCATAAAACCAAGTTCAACCCACCTTTTTCTTAAAATGTCCTGTACCAAGTCAGGAATATGGAGGTTGTTATCAAATAATCCGTTTCTATGTATGTTGGCGTTTGTTTTTGTTGCACTTCAGTGTTTCTATTGTTCGATTGTTTTCCTGTTATAGTTGATGTGATTCCCTCGGTTTTAGTTTGTAACCCGGATTTGTTTTCTCTCAATCGATTTATGACTTTTGAATAGCGGAATACTACTGTTGCCTTTATTTAGATTCAGCCTATCAAAGAACCCGATTTCAATTTTTGTTAAAATCAAACTTTAATTTTGGACCCTTTGGCCCTTTATTCCGAAATAAACAGTTAATACAATAACCCCCAAAATCAATCTCAACCTTTCTTTTGTGGTTTGGAACCTTGTTTTACAATTTCATAGAGATCCATATAATTATACTCAAGTTATTGTCTGGAAACCAAATGTCTTCGGACGACGACGCCGACTTCATCACAATTAACGAACGCCAAAATGTTGCGGTCGTATAAAAACATTTATTAATGTGATGCCTAATATGTGTTAAACAATATGATCCTCCAGTTAGAGCAATCTTTTGGACAGGCGAGATTAAATTTAACTGAAACTATACAGATCAGGTTAATAATAATTTGAGTGGGAACTTGTTGTTATTAACCATTTAAGATGTCACATAACGTACATACTTTGGTATAGGCTTCTAAACTCTTCTAAGCATTACAAAACAGGCACATGCCATTTATAAATGATTGTTTCAAATTAAATATAGGTAGCATGAGAGTCAACTATAGAATAACTAATCCAAAAATTCAAATATAGAAAAAATATATTCGATGAGTGAATGGACAACATATAAATTGAGGAATACATGTAGCCCATGAGGTAAGTATCAGTATTGTGCGTTCAAACATTGAATGTTTTCGATATTTGAATTCGTGAATTGGTTTTTATCTTAATTGATTATATCATGGACTTTTATGTAAATATAGTAGAAAATAAATGGAGCTATATCTTTTTCTAAGCATTCTTAATTCTTTTTGATGCAACTTCATCAACAGTCTTGACAACACCCATTGTTGTATGACTTAGAGATGTGAACTGATCATATTTATAAAGAATTATTTCTATTTTACTCGGATACCACAGTAGTTCTTTGTAACCAATTAAATAAGTCTTTTTGTATGAGCGGAAACAAAGAATAAAATGATTGGTTGCAATAATATGGAATAAAACTAGGAACTTTGTCTTGTTGAATTTGGTCTAAAATCCAAATTAGTACGAAATTTAAGTATAACTGCTCCATATATATACCATTCTTTTTAGATGTTTAATGCATAATTTGTCAAAAAAATCAGGAATCCTCTCTTAAAAAGATGCTTCCTGAACTAATGAATTAATGAAGAACATGTAAAACTTCATCAAAGGTACAAGACTTATAATTTAATATGCTATATGCGAATTGCACATGGTCAACACTTGTATTTTTCAATGTGATTTAGTAAATATACTAATAACTTGTTTTTTTTTATGAAAATAAATTGTGAATATAAGAATAAGGAGATGTGGCATGATTGCCAATCAGACAACTAGCCACTAGAGTTCAAATGAAGTTTGCAATTATATGCAACCTACAGCCATATGTTTATTACAAAATGTATTTACAACATTCATCAAATATCAATAATGACAAAAACTTCATGTTTTTCTCCGTCATAAATCTGCATATTAGAATAGGTGATGGCTTTTACTTCTGTTCCCTGAAAAACATAATCAATCAAATATTTAGATAAAACAATTGAAAGTAGAATATTTTTCAAGTAAAACATAGATATTTTGTAAGTAAAACATAGATATTTGTAGTCCAACGCGTATCTCTAGATTAATATTAAAAATTACCAAATTTTCCTTTGATCTTACTGACTGATAATTTCCTTTCTCAGGACAGTAGAGTGATATGAAAAATTATCGCTAGAAACTAAGGGCGCAAGTGCCGTTGTCAATGAAATTAGCAACGTTGTCATAGGTAAAATAGCAATAAACTGATTATCATTGGTCATCTCAACTCAATTGCTTTTCTCACTTTCGCCGTACCGGCTCAAGCGAGAAAATTAATCTCATTGAGATGACCAACGATAATTTATAAGTATTCCTCCTAGGCGAATGTATAGAAAGGAAGAGATGCATAAATACATGGTAACTGTTTAATGTATTTCCCTAACATGTTGCTGGGAACAGTATATCTGTATATCTATGTCAATATATATATGTTCCTGCATGTTAGTGCAATTGTTGTTTTGTAAATATTGATTAAAATGAATACAATTCAACAGTAGTCGAGGAATATACTAGGTGATTTCTCGTGAAATTGAGAAAAAAAACCTACTTTAAAAAGAACTTCATACCACTTGTAAAACAATTCTTTTATTCTTACTTTTTGTCTCGCCTTGACGGAGTCAAAAAGCGAGACATAGGTATGCTGTTTCCGGCGTCGGCGTCAACAATGTATTAGTTTGTGATTAGGTCTAGTTCATGGTGAACCACTAGTGGTAGGTCAATGATATTTGGTATGCAGTTGTATTAGCATTGGCACATCTCATTACGATGGAGATTTTTTGGCCCCGCCCCCTAAGTAAAGGTCTAGTGACTTTGAAACTTTGCTTAGTTTACATGTTTTAGTTTGTGATTAGGTCAGTTTATGGGGAACCACTAGTGGTAGGTCAATGATATTTGGTATGCAATTGTATTAGCATTGGCACATCACATTACCATGGGGATTATTTGGCCCCGCCCCCTCAGTCAAGGTCTATTGACTTTGAAACTTTACTTAGTTTACATGTATTATTTCGTGATTAGGTCAGTTTATGGTGAATTACTAGTGGTAGGTCAATGATATTTGATATGCAGTTGTATAAGCATTGGCATATCTCATTTCCATGGAGATTATTTGGCCCCGCCTCCTCATTCATGGTCTATTGACTTTGAAACTTTTGCTTAGTGTTCATGTATTAGTTTGTGATTAGGTCAGTTTAAGGGGAACTGTTAGTGGTAGGTCAATGATAATTGGTATGCAGTTGTATAAGCATTAGCACATCTCATTTCCATGGAGAATATTTGGTCCTTACCCCTCATTCATGGTCTATTGACTTTGAAACTTTTGCTTAGTTTACATGTATTAGTTTGTGATTAGGTCAGTTTAAGATGAACCACTAATGTTAAGTCAATGATATTCGGTATGCAAATGTATTGGCATTTGCAACTTTCATTTCCATGGATATTATATTACCCCACTCCTTAATTATGGTTCATTGACTTTGAAACTTTTACATAGTTAACAAGTTAATGTTTGTGTTTAGGTTTGTTTAAAGGGAACAACTTATGAAAAGTTAATGGTATTTGGTTTGCAGTTGTATTAGCATTGGCACATCTCATTTCCATGGAGATTGTTTAGCCCTGTACCTTCAGTCATGGTTCATTGACTTTGAATATTTGCATTACTTACATGTTAAAGTATTGCTATTTTAATTTCAACATTTGAATTATCAAAATAACAAATAGGCGAGACATATCTCTGTGTTAACAGTTTATTATATTTTATATTTATATCTAAGACTGGTAACAATATGTTATTTCGTAGAAATTATACTTAAAGTATATGATTTATCCATATTAAGTAAGGAACACCAATAACAACGGGACAACAAACATTATTAACAATGGGTGGCAACTTATTTTATTCATTTAAATTACTTTGTTGTTAAATTTTGTTGCAATCTCACAAATGCAATGGGCAATATATGTTTAATAAGCACCACTTGAACTGGCCGAAATTTCAGAACCTTTCATAAAAATTATTAACACCTTTTAGTACATGATTGCTACATCGTAGTAAAATGGCCCCTGTGTAAACAATGAATGTAATTGTGTTTTCAGTATAGAGTTGTACAACAAGAACATAGATAACATTATTAAGTGAATTTGACTCCTTGTCGTTCTTTGAAAAAAATGATCAACGTCTCATATATAGGCGAGTGACTTAATTATTTCAAAAAGACGCTTAGTTATCGACTTTAATGCACCCACCTAACACACGGCTGTATTATATATCATTCGAAAGCTAATAATCTGTACTTTCTGTTTTGTCCGGTCGTAAAAAAATCGTACGGTGCATTTTCTGTTAAATCAAGGTCAAATGTCATGAAAAAACATTCCAATTTTTGCGATTACTAAACAAAAAGCCATTTTCTAATTCTTGTACCATAAAATTTTTCAAAAGATCATATGAACTTTATATAACATAATACATTATTTCCAAATCAAACAAAAAATAAGATGTTATATGCGCAATATTTCCCGAAAATTGAACTTCATCACAAATCCTAAAAAAATGAAAAATTGTTCCAAAAACAAAATATATCTTGGGGGTGAAATGATCTGTGAGGCGATGGTGTGTTTTTACAAGGGTGTTTTGTGTATAGTATTGTAGATGTCTTTGTTTATAAAGACGCAAACCATGCTGGATTTCTGATACTTTTAATCAAGGTAGATAACTGTGTTAAACATTGTACATAGTAACATACGGAATGAAGTGACGGACATATATTCCGGATCAATATTAAAGTTAGGATATTACATCCCTCCTCAACTTAGATAAAGAAATAATTTTCATTTAAACTTATTGAAACATTAAACATTAAAACATTTTTGTTGTTGTTGAAATTATCTATCAAAAGAATGAAATGAAGTCTATGATTGTCATAAAAATGGATTTCCAAATTTTCGATCATATAAAGTTTAAAATGTTCTGACTAGAGTCTCTTGACTAGAATCCACAAAATGATTGCTAACAAACTAATGTCTAGTTCACTACTAAACTATTCTAAATGATACTAAATATAATCAACAAAACATATTTCATGAAACTTAGAGCCTTTTTACTCTTTTACCAATCTAGGGGATTATTATGCCCCATTCACTGAATTCACTGATATAATTATAGGGGATTATTATGCCCCATGCACACGTAATAAATTTCAATGGTTTGATCAAAATTAACGCACATAGTCTTCCAGATATTTAGGAACATGTTTTTGTCGTACTGGCCTTTCGCTTTGTTGCGGAGTAGTTGACTGTTGTTTGGTTCCTGAAGAGGGTGGTTGATCTTGATTATTTGATGGTATTGTGTCGCATATATTTTCAAATTGTTCTTCAATTTCATCAGTTGTTTTGCGGATCGGTGGACGGTTCACTTTCTTAAATTTTGATGAGTTTCGAGTAACTAATTTCTCGCCATTTGTAACGGTGATCATGCTTCCTTTCTTGTTGATGACATTATACGGATTTGGTTCATAGGCTGTTGTGAGTTTGTTTTCTTTTCGATCGGTCTGTCTTAACACGGAATTTCCTATTTCAATATTACTCGGCTTTGCATGATTTCTATCATCAAATTGTTTTTTCATTTTGCATTTTTCACTTTCATCATTTTGTCGTGCATTTTCATCCATTTGTCTGTTGGTAATGTTAGGTTTGTGCACTTGTGGAAGTTTTGTTACTGGTTCCCTGTTAAATAATAACTGAAACGGCGGGTAACCTGTGCTTGTGTGTGGAGTTGCTCTAAATTGTCGGAGAAATTTAAACAGTTCTTGTTTCCAGCTTTTCCTTTCCACATGAGCTGCTTTAATTGTCTTCATCATTGGTTTATTAAATGATTCGGCCTGGGCATTGGCACGTGGCCATAATGGTGTTATACGGCGGTGTTCAAATCCAGTATTTTCAGCATATTGTCTGAATGCATGAGAGTTAAACGGAGGACCATTATCTGTTTTGATTACTTTAGGAATTCCGAAAGTAGATATAACTTTGTCCAAAACAGGAATAACAGTTGAAGCAGAGTTGGATTTAATTACTTCAACTACTGGATAACGTGAATATTCATCTGTAATAACGAATAAGAGGTCTCCGCTAGGTAATGGACCACAAAAATCAGCACTCAAATTTGCCCACGGCTTTTCTGGCAATTCAGACATTCTTAACGGTTCAATTCTTTTGGTGTGTGTAACAGATTGACATGCTGAACAGTCTTTAATTGCATTATCAACTCTGTCATTAAGTCCTGGAAACCATATCTTGGAACGTAAGAATGCTTTAGTTTTGGTGATACCCTGATGACCTTCATGCGCAATGTTAACAGCTCGCACACGGAGTTCAGATGGGAGTACAATACGATTGTCTCTCAGTAAAATAGTGTCACCATAGGTTACAAGTTCACCGCTGATGCTCCTTAATGCTTGTAATTCCTCAATGTCAATTTCCAGATCTGTTATGTTTTTGATTTTAAACCATTGTCCAGTTCTTACAAATTCTATTGCCTTTTGAATAGTTTTGTCCTTTGAAGAAGCCATTTTAACTTCATCAAGTGTCATTGCACGAGGTACTGCTTCAGACATAACAAATCTCACATACTGTTCTGCTATAGATTGTTCTCGGGATTTGACAGGGTTGTCTGATGGGTGTCTTGACATAAAATCTGCAGGATTTTCACTTCCTGGTCGATATGTTATCTTAAGTTTGTATGGTTGTAATCTCAAACCCCAACGTTCAATTCTCAGTGGTGGCTTTGGTTTCTGCCAAATACGCTCTAGTGGCTTGTGATCTGTTATAATGTTCACGTTTGGTGCACCTCTTATGTACATATCAAAGTGTTCACATGCCCAAACAATAGCAAGAGCTTCTCGTTCAGTTTGGCTATACCTTGTTTCAG